GGAGGGACAGGTGTAGTTCTGGATGCCGCGGCCTAGGGCGACATATTTGAGGGTGAGGTTGGAGGAGGGGGAGGGGAGGGCGGTTTGGTTGTATTCGAGGTTCAGGATGGTGTGGTTGAGGGGGCAGGAGGTGAGGGTGAGGTCTTGGAGGGTGGAGATGGTGGAGGTGAAGATGGAGGTCGTGGTGAGGATGTCAGTGGGGGTTTTGGCGGTGGTGAGGAGGGGGAGGAGGGAGAGGAGGATCGGTAGGAGATACATGATGAGATGAGATTTCAGAGGAGGTAGAAGGTTGATTTGGGTTGTATAATTGAGTTGATGGAGGATTAAGCATGGGAGGGATGAGAGAATAAATATCCACCCGGAAATTACCATCCACCTTCCTAACAATCTTGTCGCCTGTTCTCATTCACTAGGGATGCATTCACTAGGCATTCACCGTGAGGAGAGGGAATCGTCCGCGCAGTGACAGTCTGCCTTGATTCTCTCAGGCTGTCTTGCCATTTGCCTCTGAACCAGTGCAGTTGAGCCCTGAGCAAGATGTTGGATTCACTGCCTCCTCCAGGAGATATAGCAACGAGGCAGTCTGCTACAGATAAGCAATAGCCTCAGTATGCCTCGGATCCTGCACCACCAGACATATCAACCAGAGAACTGAACCCCTATCTATGAATAGATCGCAGTCCTCCCTAGAAGACATCGCACCAGCGTCTGCAACGCCACGTCGGTGTAATCTTCCCTGCAAACGGTCGCGCCGACATTCGTGGAGAGCCATGGATGAGACGCGCATCAGACCAACAAGGTTTGATATAAGCGCCGTTGTGCGGCCGGTCCTCGTGGCCATGCACCGTCACTTCATCATTTCCGAGGGCGTCAAGAGGGAACCATCACCATTGGTCATTTGTAGAGTTGTGGATTGTACGGCATATATTCGGTGCTGTGCAGTGGATGTTAGCAAGCTATTGATGATGATTTGATAATAAATGATGGGTATGGTGGCTGCTACCTAGTTAGGGCTTGTCGTGCAAGAATAAAAGACGAGGCCAGGCAAGTTTCGTATTGATAGGATGTCCAAGAGATGCTTATTCATACAATCCAACACAGCTGCAAATAACAATGTTCAGCGTTCTGCTTCAAGAATAGATAATGACACTAAGGGAACATACAGAAGTAACATCTGTACGGTAATACAGATGAGGATACGGCGGAGGTTCTCATCTCATCTCTTGACCCTGGCGCAGTGGCCGTGCAGTTCCCGGCGCTTCGAGCTCAGGCATCCTGTCCATAGCTAATGCAATGGAGTACAACTTTGCAGGAGCAAGTAAATGACCAGCCTCAATCAATTGTTCCTTGGAAATGTACCAAGGCGGAGTCATCGACCTTACCTCAGTTGAGTACTTCACCCACTCCAGAAGGTCGGCCGATGCAAGGGTTACTCACCAGGCCAGGGGTCACTTTATGGACCAAATTATGTACGGGGTGCAGTTTATCGAGTACACTCTACAGTACAGAATGTGCATTCAGCATCTTGATTAGACAATAAGGTATATAGTAGCGACCGTCGCGACACCGCGGGTGTCTATGCCAACAAACAAACCAGCCTGCATTCCCAGCCCATGCTCCGCCCAATTGCAACGGGTATCAGCCCGGCACTCCTTCTCGAGTGCGCCGCCTTTAGCAATTTATCCCAGAAAAAAACTCACAGCAACAGCCCATGCTAAGTCCGAGAACACTCCACCGTCCACACGGTGCGGCACGCAAGGAATGGTCAAACCAGAGAATCACAAACATAGGAAACATGCAAAAAAATCTAGATCAAAAACATCGACCGGCTGCGGGTTTCCGTATCCCAATCATGCCACGGAACCGCAGAAAAGAAGTGAATCATAAAACCCAAACCCAGTTGGTATCTGAGCAGAAAGCCATGCCAAACAGATAGGAAAAATCACAGATAACCAACTCCCTAGTCTAGCGAGAGATAAGAAGGAAATGGAATCCCAAAGAAAAAAAAAAACAAGTAGTCACCAACCAGCAAAACATCCGGTACCTCTATGGTCATAACGTGGGTAATAAAGACATCACTGGCAACCCTCCGAGCCGTTGTACCGTGTCCTGCCTGTCCGTGGGAATCTGAAAAACAAAGGAAATAATGGAAATGGGGTATCAATTCTCTGCCACACTGGCCGAGACGGGAAAGAGAAGAGAAGTAGCAGAAGAGGAATCGAAGCTGTTGTACAAGGGAGCGAACCCGATCAGGAGCGAGACGTCGCACAAGGTAGTGCGATGCGTCTCAAGATCCAGGTTCGCACTTCCTCCGCCCCGCTCGAGGGGCGTTAAGGGGTGGGATTTCAGGAGAAAGAGGAGTGGCTCATTTACTCCTCTTCTTCTCCTGAAGCGCCCTCCTTTTCTCCTTTGTGGACCTTCTTGTGCCGCCGCAAGTTAGAGACGACCGAGAAGTGGCGGCCACAGCCTTCCACGTCACATGCGAATGCTAGATCCAACCCATTAGTATCACAAACCCGCGTGTACGAGATTCGCATGGGACTTACGTTTTTCACCAGTGTGACTGTACATATGAGTCTGGAGAGACGACGGGCGGGTGAACCGTTTGTCGCACACCTTGCACTTGTGCTTCTTCTGCGTGTTGGACGGCATCTTGGAGCTGAACTGACTCATCATCGACTGGGGTCCGGGAGGAGCGCTTCCCGTCAACAGGTTCGACGGACGGGGGAGTGTCCGCGAGAGGTGGCCATTTTCGTAGGATTCCGATGTGGTCGAGCTGTAATCCGTCACAGACGATTCCACGGATGCGACAGAGGCCGAGTAGTATGGGTAGTTGCCACCCGACGAGATTGACGATCCAGACGAGTGTGTCGAGGGGAAGCCATAAGAATCTCCGGAGCCGCGAGAGCTGCGAGGGCCATAGATGTTGCGGGGTGTCATATCCTGACTGAGCGCGACCATTCCACGACTAGCATCAAGAGCGTCTCCGAATGTTGGGGCAGAGGAGGGTTGCGACTGGCTGACGCGAGCATCACTAAGAGACAACAAGTGGTAAGCATACATTTCTTTTGCGCATTGGATCATCCAAACTTACGCATGAGATATCCGGCGATCCTGGTGGTGCATGTGCGGAGCGTAGCTGAGAGGGGCGTAGCTGGCGGGCGCGAAGCTGCTCATGGGCGAGGCGGTAGTGTACGCCGGGGCTTGGTCAAAAGAAGTGCGTGGCATGTCGTGCGACAATCCCATCATCTCCGGTCCGGGGTAACTCGAAGCAGTGGCGGTGGAGTAGTTGCTGCCGGCGACCATGGAGGGAGCCGAGACGGGAATACTCGAGTATGGCAGAGACATCGACGGGCGGCTCACTTCCTCCTGCTTAACATGGCTGAGGCCAATTTGGCTGGGACCCATGGAAGTCGCGTAGACGGGAGGGTTGGAATGGGACGAAGTCTGAGCGGCCCATGGATCGGTGAACTGCGGAGGATTGTGGTGATGCATGTTGTGTTGATACACATTATCGAAGCCCATCCCGCCGTATTGGCGGTTCTGGTTTTCAATGACCATCGTCATGGAGAAGAGTGGTGATCGCGTGGAGCGAATTTAAAAGGGTTGAGACAAGTAACGGCGTGGTTGACGTTGGGGGCACGAGATCACGGCGCGGGTTATCCCTAGAAATGCAGGAACCAAAACACAGGGTTCCCCACGAAAGAGTTCGAGGTGTGTGTGGACGAAGGGGAAGAGCGCGTGCGAGATGGAATGGCAGTGGTGGGGAGACGAGCAAGAATGGAAGGGAGGGGGAGGCAGGAGAAAAATAGATCGCGAGGATGATCAACAAGGAGAGCTGAAGGGATCCGCGCGAAATGTATAGAGTAGAATGCAATGACCCGAGACAAGCTTCGGGGAGAGGATGGACAGGCGCAAAGTAAAAAAGAAGTAGTAGGAGGAATAGATGGAGGGAGGAGGGAGCCGGTGAAATAAGAACTGGATGATAGAAGCCCTTGGAGAAACCCGACAGACAGGAAGAAGGAAAGACAGTCTGGGGAAGGGCCCGAAGGGGATCGGCGAAGCTTATGAACGAATACAGGATCGCAGCATGAGGATGGGCCGCAGGGACGAAGGGAAGCCCTGGCGTTGCCGTGTTGGTGATGGCTAGTGCCACTGACGACGTCCCGTCGGGGACGGTTGCAGATCGTTACTTTGGGCCGCTTAGGCTTCGAAACGGCGCCAGTGTTAAAAAACGAGAAGAGGAATTGCTTAGTGGCAGTGGAAATCTCCAAATGGGAACCAGTTCCTCGGGTGACTCTCAAGGTTTTGGATGGGTCTCTTCTTCCCTGGTTGGGATGATTTTTATTTTCTTTTCTTTTTTGGGGCGATTTTTTGGGTTTAATTTTCTGACTGTCCATTGGATTTGGATTTTTTTTTATTTTCTTCGCGCGCTCACTCACTCACTTTCTCTCTCTCTCTGTTTTTACCCTTCCCCTATTTTTTTTTTTTTATTTTGTATTTTCCTACACAGGAATTCGATTTTTCTAATTCCCCCCATCAGCTCGATTTCATTTTCCTTTCTGGAAATTCAATTTCGAGGCTCATGTTCATTTTGCTTCTTTTCTATTTTTGTGTTCACTTGCCGATTCGGATCCCCTTCATCTAAGGGAAACGATGCATAGATGAAATCGTAATCAAGCCTACTCGATACAATTACAATATTGCGTAAGCCCCAGATTCATTGAGAGACATTCACGGCTGCTCTTCGGGGGTTCAATATAATATAATTCATACACAGCATCGATCCAGGCAAGGTTGAACCAATCACCCACCAACGCAGGGGTGCGGAAAAGGGGACACCTGAAACTCCGTCCAGAGGTATGTATGTGTATGTATGGATGGATCGCAATACGAAGGAACACACCACCACTGCCGCTGCAAGCCGTATGTAGTCGGTAATATTCTTCTAGTCACTAAACCTATATCGGACGCCGTGGTCAGTCTCCAACACCATCGCAGAGACGGGACGGCCACAAAAAGAAACGAGCGTGAGCCAAAGTCAAAAGACCAAAAGGGCAAAAGAAAAAAGGAGAGAGAGGAAAAGGGAGGGGAATGGGGGGGAACAAAGTGTGGGTTTCTGCGCGAAAGAGAAAAGGCAAACACAAGCAATCGGGAAACATGGAATGGCGGATGGAGTCCTACAGTTCAGGCACAGGACCTACCTCTTTTTTGCGTGGTTAGCCACCGTCCCATCATGGGAGATGGAGAACCTACTCCATATTCTCTCCGTGCTCTCTCCGTATATGGCAGTTCTGTCAGGAGCCGTGCGGGAATATTCCTCAGACTCATAGGGGGCCGCTTGGGGGAAAGCGATTAGTGTAAAGGGGGGGGGCAGCCGGGGGGGGGGAAGAGGGGTGGGGGGGGTGTAGTTTGTGCCGTGTCTATACAAAGTAGCGTGTCTGGAGGAGCAGGGTAGACACGAAGTGGGTGTGGATAAAAAGGGAAAAAAGAATATGGAAATTGGGCAAATGGGAAAGATTGCAGGAGGGTAGGCAACGCCAAGAGTTAAGCTTAGATGCAGCGGCCAAGGTTCGCCTTGAGCCCTTGAGGGTGTTTCAAGGTAGCGGGGAAGTGGCGGCAGATCACAAAGATACGTCAAAGGGTATACCCGTTCCGTGGGGGAGAAGGTCACTGGACGACTAGAGATAAAAAAGCTCCCAGGATGGGGTGGGCCAGCTCCACTGGCTGCCCATGATTGACTGGCTGTCCCTTTTCCTTTCCCTTTTGCCTTTTTGGATCTGGCAGTCCCAGCAGGTACCTGGTTAGTACGCCGATGTGGTAATGTGAATGTCCCAGGGCCTGCGATACCGGTAATGTTACCAAGGAACCGCGCCAGAAAGTCGCCAGAAGTACACCAGAACCACCACCGCAGTGTGGGAGAGATGAACTGCTGCTGCCTTGAAGAGGATCCCACGGAGAAAGAATCGGCTGCCCTGCCCCTTAAGACGTCTGTCTATATCACTTCCAGCCAATGGTGGTGTTCCTCCGACGCCATAATGCAGTGGACATGTTGCGCAAGAACAGCCAAGCCCCCGTCCAGAAAGGTCCAGGCCAATGATTGGTAATGGTACTCGGTCAGTACGGGGACTCGGAGTACGACTGGTGATGACTTGGCCATGGGTAATAGGCATAGGGCGGGCCTGCAGGGCCTACACCAGACTAGCTGAGGGACCGCCGTAATACCGCTAGCAGGCGGCATCCTGGTCGAAGCGGTATAGCAACGGCGGCTCGTCCGCTGATGCTTTTGCAGGCTCACAGCAGGGTAATGGAGCTCCATGCTTGGACTGATGGAATTTTCCTGTCGAAACTCTTCCTCGACACGCATCCACCTCCAGTTCGTTTACATGCATGGGCGGCGCTGCAGCAATCGGTGCGAGGCCAAATTAATCATGCGACGGGTGCACCGTGCGTAGATTTTATTCCACCAAATTGTCATGGAGTCATTGTCATCATCATCATCATCATCAGGCTCGTATCCCAGCTTGTTCAACTAGTTCATGCTTCCGAGCCGATGTCGACCAGGATGGATGCGCTTCGACCATAGGGCGACGCGGCGACATCCAACCCCGGTGGTGAGGTATGTACATGGAGCAGCTAACGTTGCTCCCGATGCACGCAGAGCAGAATGGGTCGGACTAATCATCAAGTTGCTGCAACCCCGTCAGCCATGATGCTGTAGGTGATGGTATCGGGGAAAGGATGCAGAGGGAGCAGCAGAGGCCATGCAAGATGACGACATGGCTTCACGATTACACCGCGCTGGCCCGGGATGAAGTCCATTTGGCGCATTCTGCAGACTCCAGAGTCGCGTTCGCGTGTCTCTAACCCGGACGGAGGATCCCGTCATGAGATAGTTGCCTCCGGTGCGGAGTCCAGCATCCATCCCAATAAGGTGCGGGTGGGAAGCGTCCGAGGCCCTCGCTGGAGGAGGTTCCCCTCTTTCTGTTGGTAACAAGTAATATCCAACAAGCCCCGCCTCGGAGTGCGGGTAACACCCAGGGTCACGTCAAGTGGTTTCCGTAAATAACCCATGAGCATAGTATTCTCTTGGCCTGGGTGTCAGCGCCGTCATGGTAATTAACGTCCCTTCCTAGGCGGGTAACTATTCACAGCGGTTCACACCCTCCGGGTATTAACTCAGCCACTGAGCTTGATGGATAATATCTATCTGGATAAATGATCGAACCACCATCTCCGATTCAGATCGCGACCACGTTACCGGGATCCTATGGGCTGACCCGCCCATCCTCGGTTCTAGCTGGCTAGTGACATGGGACGGGAATCCAATTTCCATCCATTCCCATGGCTTGCTGGTCTGGATCCAAGTTTCTCTGCGTTTGCTGCTCTGGGATAACGCTGAATGCCACTACGACTAGACTACTAGTACTACCTCCGACTAACTACATAGTATCAAGTTCCTGCGGAATGGGGCAGGTTAGCTTCCCATATAATCCCACTCGCTTTAATTGCGGTCTCCGAAAATAGGGGAGCCCCATCCACACCGACGTCAGAGCGCGGGAACAGGGTAGCCGTGGGAGCCCGCGCCCTACTACGCTAGCGGCACCGCGAGGAAATTTGAAATCTGCCATAGGTCGGATACAAGTGAATAGAACACATCACACGCAACATCCACAGCAGACACCACATTGGTGCGGAGATAACCTCGAGCGTGGAGTGGATTCGCCGCAGCTGAGAGTCTGAGAGATTTTGAGTTCATCCTAGTCAACATACTCAAACCCAGTCTGAAGCGTGCATGGATATCTCAAGCTGGACAAAGGGTCAATGACCTCAGCTCAGACTTTTTGCTTGTTGGGTGGGCCTAGACTCTGAGGATAAAGAAGCCTAGTCCAAGCCAAGCTGAGGCATCAGCACTCAGCAGCACAGCTTAGTCTCTACACCAAGAGGCTCAAGTCGATACACCGGATTCCCCTAGAGAGTATCGTCGAAAGAAACGTCAAGTGGATGCTGGGGCCAGACTGACGGACGCCCACTTCTGCAACCGTTCGGCTGGGGCGTTTTCCTGCCCACTTCCCTGAGGATGATGGTCTGTGGCCACTGGAGCCCGGAGCTGGAGGACCACCAAGGATCAATATGATAGGTACAGCTCATCACCTCTCGGGACTAGCTCAACTTAAAGTTTTCCTGATTCTCTGGAGGGTCGGCATCGCGTCGATGATAACAGGCTAATAGGCGAGGGTGCAGACTGAGCGACAGGGGAATCTGCTGGAGGGGGTGACCACATGCATGGGGCCAAGCTCCAGTCTCCTCTTTTGCATTCCGAGCATCGGAGATGGCTGCGCGAATCGGTTTAGGTTTGGGCCCTGAGAACAATGGCTATCTTTTGAGAGTCGTCCGCTGTCGCGTGGTGTGTCAAGGGCGACTTGTTTGAAACCGAAAAGCGTCCTGAAAATCCCTGGAAAATCAACCCCACGGTCATTGGCTCGCCTCTCGACATACCGTAAAGAGCAGGTGCAAAACCGGCGGGGGGAGGCCACTGTGCCAATGAGAGGGGCGGACGGGCAAAAGCGGCGACGGGAACGTGGGTCGGGGGGAGTCCACCCGGTCTGGCACGAGGCTGGCCATGCGATATGGGCCTTTTTCTTCCCAAACGCTCGAGTTCTGGCCCATGGATCGCTCCTGGAGAACCGAAAAACAAAGTTGGTCCCCCCCCTCCTCTCCTTGACCCCCCAATCGCACTAGGCGTGAGTAGTGTGATTAATCGCGGTTGGGGCCTCAATAGTGCCCGTCTGGATTGGGACAAGCTTGAGTGACAGCGTCCAGCCAAGCTTCCACTTTCGCCTCCCCCAATTCTTCAGACTTGGACCGAAATTGGACTTTTACGGAAAGTGGTAAGTCGACAGGTGAAGCTCTGGAGGAACATGGTACCGGGACCATCGTGACTGCCACTAAGGTTCTGCGGCGTCTACTTTAATTAACCACCGGCAGTTCGAGTGCCGACGCCAACTAGGTACGCTGTAGAGAATCATGACCCTCACATATCGTGGATTGAAGTGGTGTTGGTATTCCGCTGTGAGGGGGAATGACAAATCCGGTCGCGTCTCACTCGTTTCTTTTTTGACTACGACGCATCATCAGTGAGGCGCTGCGGAAGGGGCAACGAGAGTTTCTCACTCCTCCGGAGTCGACTTTCCCGGTTTGTATCCACCTCTGAACTCTTGTCGAGGGTTTCCGAGAAGGCTGAGCCTATGGGCAATCCGAGGTGACGGATTTCTTGTCTTTCAGGTGCAATATACCTGGGCCGAGGGTTGTTTCACCCATGCGACCCCGGGAGTTGTGATATCTACCTGTTGTAGCCAATCGAGGCCGCAATCACACGCCTCGAGTTCTGTCCTGCGCATGATCCAACTCTTCCTCGGCAGGGGACGGCAACTTTACACCGAGGATCACTATTATGACCATTCTACGCGTCTACCATGTAGACGAAGCCGACTTCGGGTTGGTGATGCAATAGCAGGGTCACTGTCAGTGTGGCTTAACTCTGGCTAACTCCTTTTTCAAAGCTCATTCTCGGGCATCAGCTCCACCAGGAGGTATACAGGAGGCAGGTACGGCGTGACGGGGATTCCAGAAGAGGCGAGCCGAAATCACTAGGAAACAATAGGCATGCGGGCTGGATGGAGTCTGTAGAGGGAAGAGGCCCAAGCGGTGCATTGCGTAAACTGCAGAATAATCCCGCGCCCGAGATTTGAGGGACTGACTATTTTTGATCGCAGGAATGAGAATGGCAGACCCCAATGAAATGCAATGAGACTTGAAGGCATGTTTCCAGACTCTGGTCTGGTCAAACGTACTTCGGCTGACGACGACCGACCTGAAGACGCGACTGCGAAGGGTGGTACAAATGACAGTCGCCTGGATGGGGGATGGAATCCTGTTGCCGGCTTGGCTGATTTGCCTCTTGACCGCCGGATCCGCTTCCTGGCGGAACCGTGCCTTGACGCCACCCAGTCAGTCACCAGGCAAGCCAACCATCCGGATCTCACCGCTTTTCCAGACGGCAACCGTCTATTTGCTGTCATCCGGCTGCTAGTTGGCCGGGAAGAGGGAGGGGCAGAGGGGCGAACTGAGTTCCATCAAATCCGTGCCTTAGCGCTTAAGGTTTGCCCTCTTTGCAGGGATTGGCCCTAAGCCCATCCCGGCAGGTCGTACACTACCCAATTAGGCGGAGCGCCCCCTTGACACGGCACATCATCCCCAAAAACGCGTAACGGGACCCAGAAACGGTCGGCCAATCATCAGCCACATCCATGACCCTGCCCCTAATCATTGCGGGGATCTGAAAGTGGTAACCCGGTGGGGCCACTCGTAACAAGTCCGCTTTGCCTTCCTTTTTGGTGCTGGCTGGGTGCTGGCTGGGTGCTGTGCTATGCTGAGTGAGTGGTGAGCAGGTCTCATCAGCTGGCTGGGATCTGGATGTTGGTTGATGCAGATACCACCGTTGACTTTGTGATATCTACAGATGAATAGGAAACAGTAACAGTATCAGTACCAGTACCTAGTAGATGGCAACGATCTAGATGTCGAGTTATAATTAGAATTCATTTCGCTTCCAACAGTGGATTACTTCTACGAAGTACAATCCCGCCAAGGAACAAACCAACACTTCCGAGGGTTCCGAAATGAACATCTACCGGAGTATCTCGCTGAGCTGAGCTGAGCAAACGACAAGCAATAACAAACGATGCCGTAGGACTGCAGTATAGTACAAGGAAGTACCTCGATCTATACTCCGTACTACTCGGTATGTTCGTTGTAGATAGTAGTAGATACTAAAGCCACCATTAATCTACTACCACGAACCACCATCATAGTGTGTCGATCACCCCGACACCGGCATTAGTCCTGCCATGCCTTGCCCCAGCACCAGCCAGCACCAGCCAGAGCTAGGCCGGGCAGGGCCCATCCAATACCATCATCTATCTAGCTACCTACCTAGCAACTAGATCAAAAAGATACCCTTCATGACTCACAAACAAAAGCAAAAAAGCAAATAAGACAAAAATAACAACAACACCCTATACCATGTACCATGTGCTATATTAATTAAATAAACTACGGTCGATCATCCACCAGCTGAACCTGAAACACCACAAATGGCAATGGATGGGTTTCAAACACAATCGTCCGACAATGTAATAGGAGAGGAATAAACATCTGTCAATCTGCACGGGGCTTTGGTTTCTTGGCGGTTTGGCATAGGTAGGTAGGTAGATCCTGATCGGTTTAGATCAGATCTTACGGCAGATCGTCGTGGGATATTTTCCTAGTATACTAGTATGTAGTATACTGGAGTATGGATTGTTGGGTACATTGATAACATTACTATGTAGGGTAGATACATAGTACTATAGTACAGAGAGAAGAGAAGGAGAGTAAGTAAAGTATAGTCATACAAATACCATACACCTCCCACCCAAACACCAACACCAACAAAAATACATACAAACCCACGCGCACGATCGAGGCTAAATCCCACCACCACACAAACTCAGAACTCATCCATCTTTACCAAAGTATGGAGTTACAAGAATCCAGCTGAAACTCAATGCGCAATAAACCTAAACCCTAATCCCCTTGCCACACCTACCTTTCCCACCCACGAACCCAGTCCCATGGACCATGAGGGAAGATGACCCGAAATTGAGACCATGCGCGTTGCCCCCGCGCAGTGGGGGGTGGCAAGCCAACATAGTTCCTTGGTATCTAGATAGATCGATAGGAAACTCTGTAGATAGATCCAAGTCTAACCGTAACCTAGAACATTGAGTGAAGGTTCCATTGATCGTGTGGCTTGGGGTTCTTTTTTGTTTCTTTTGCTGTTTTGGGTGTAGCTTTCTTTTCTTTTAGTTCTTTTCTCGTGATGGGAAAGGTTATTTTATCTGCTCCGTAGTCTACTAGTATTTTGATTGATGGGTGGTTGGTTAAGTGTATCTAGTCTCGTATACATACTCCATACTCTACTCCATCCCCTTAGGCCTAGTCATAGGGGGGGGGGGTAACTTGGAGAATTGGGGAATGGAGAAGGTGATGTGGGCGACGTGACGGGACTGGATCCCGTCAACTCAAGCCAACCCATACCCAAATTTTTGACAGTCCGTTGCACCTCACTAACCTTTTGTCTCGTCTGATTGGTTGAAAAAGTGGGACTGAATCTCATCCCAACCAGGAAGGTCTGGCGCCAAGACCGCGGCAAGAAATTCTCGTTCCTACACCTAGAGGCAGTAGGTACACTACGGAGAAGAGAGTATACTCCGGAAAGTGAGTACTCCGGAAAGTCAATAGGTAACTGCTTAGCAAAGTAGATATCTAGTTGCATTGATGACGAATAACTATAGTAGCACAGTATGGCGCAATTGTAATCAAATGGGTCAGAAGAATATGGGCATCGGGGACATGTGATTGGGTGGATGCTCCGATATACCACCGCGACTTGCCTAGCCCGGATAGTTCCAGTTGTCGAGGACAGGATCGGATCCACTGCGGAGTATTCATTGTTGGTTTTATTTACTGCTATATCAATGCATGTACATACTACTGTTGTATTAGGTATGAAATATCAGCATTAAGCAGTATTCGAAGTCTACGGAGGACTCCGGAGGATGGCAATGGGTGACACGCTATGGCATTGGAACAATTCAACCCTGTACTCCGTAAGCAGGGAGCATGCAGCCACATCCCCGGGGACGGCAGATAGTCGATAGCCGAGCTTGGCTCGAGTAGATCATCCAATCATCGGATGGGCCCCACCGAGCTGACGCGTGCACATCATACCAAGTACCATACTGGCATACAGAGTATTCTATGTTTCTCAGCTGGATTCTTTCTCATAGGATTCTTTTCTCCGCTGTATTCTGTTCTCATAGGATTCGTTTCTCATAGCGGATTCTCTAGGTACCTGTAGAGTACTTCACTACAGTACAGTACATATACAGCAACTAGCAATACATCATGGTACAATTCTAAGAAAGAACTCTGATCAAACTCAAGTAAAGCCTCGTTCGGCCTCCATATGAACCCCGCAGCCCGTTGCCCAAATCCCTGCGTGCGATCCTGGCCCGCCCCACCCGACACTGCCACTCTCAGGGTTGCGGCTAGCAGCCACCTGAAACACGCCGTCTTGCTGAATGCCACTCATGATATCATGTATTTCAGAGTGCAGTGCAGCTAATAATGCCTTCTCGGTCGATAGAATATTGGTGTATTCAGGAGTTTACTTCTTACCTTACCTTTTGCACTCATGCAATAGTCTTCTACTAAGTAGACTGTAGATGTATACGTAAGCGACCGCCCACACTCCATCCATGTACTCCATACTCTGGATATGATCCATGCGGGTGAGACACCACGGAGGACACACCAGAAGGGAATCCAACCCGCCCGCCACCAGGACCCTGATCACGCCTAAGCTTCCTGCGACAGCCGCCTGGATCCCGTGTCTAGTGGAGTGGATCACTCTATACCTTTTACTATGACAATGATGGTGACCGTCTTACGAATCTGAAACCATCTGATGCCCAGGATGATGTTTCGGGTTGATGAGGTGCTTCTTCAATTTAATATATTCCTATTTTACTATGTAGTATGTACTATGTACTCTGGATATTGCTGGGTCACTAGTGTGATCCATGCGTGATCGAAGTTTGGATGGTGGGTGGTGATTCTATTAATATGTAGATAGATTAGACCCTGCATTTAGTTCATCCCAAGGTTGAATGATGGGTGATGTCATATGCCATGAGACCTATCTGCCATGGAGGTTGTCTAGGTACGGAGGACTATGTAGTATGTACGTAGGTAGGCGATGTGTCGAACACATGGTCTCACTGTCAGATACAGAGATCTCATGTTGAGCTTATCTGGCTAGTTAGGGAAGAGAGACATATCTAACCTAGGTAGTGACACCACATGGCGTGTAGCAATACGGAGTACGGGGTATATTCGGCTTCACATGTCCTCGGACTATCCGTCCATCACCGAGATACATATCCGTACTCAAAAATAAATTATCAAGGGATAAGATAAACGACGGAGTAGATAGAGGATAGAATAAGGGATGAATACCACCCTGGAAAAGAATTCCACGAATCCCATCCGATCATTCCTGCACGGTAGGGTTGCATCCACACCTCGACAGGGTCCATATACATACTACCTAGTATCTAGGCTAGACAATCTATGCAGATGATGAATTATCAAAAATTGTGCCGACACAGCTTCGCTAATGTGGACAGAGGACAGTACCTAGATCCATTTCATTTGACTCAATGATGTATCATTGTATGTACTCCGTACTCCGGGCAGAGTGCATAAAATACTGCGAAGTTTAATTCAAGGCAACTAAATACCTAACTAAGTGCTTATGTTGCTATATCACAGGGGCCAATTCCATCGAGTGACTCACATAATACTAGGTAACTATGATTATTTACTCAATTGATAATAGTGACCGCTGTCCTCCGAACCAATCTACTATAGTGTATGGAGTAGGTAAATAATGCGCTGTCAGCTCAGCTCAGCTCAGCCGTCTCAACCAACACAATACACCAAATAATAGGACCGAAACTGACGCTCGAGCCTCGTTGGACTTCCAATCATACCTAATACTCGGGATCAGAGAAATACGTAGGTCTCCGCCTAATATGGAGTAAGTGAGTACTTCTATTTGTGTACTTCGTACTCCGTAGGATTAATTCCATTCTCTAATCCTACCCTACCATACCTACCATACCTATGGAGTACACACAAAGCCATTATCTATACTACCCATCTAGATAAAGAATACTATGTACTATGTAAGTATCCAAAACTAAGATCAGATAGGAAAATGCCCCTCGTCAAATTCCCAACCCAAAATAGATAGCTCCAACTAATTACCCAAACAGTACCTACCTACCAAGTAAAGTAACTAGTACCAAAGGTGAGTACCCATCCTAATTCCTAAGTGGTTGGAGCTGAGATAAGTGGATGGATGGATGGGTGGGGTAGTCCCATACCGATTGCGATGAGTGGCCAATCACTGGGCTTCCCCACACGGGAAACATCAAAGCCAAGCCCACACATGACATGGGTGATGGGGACAGGCTTACGCGGCACATTTTAGGATCTAGGCTAGGAAAGGAACTCCAGCTGCGGTGGTCTGCAGGGCAGGGTGCAGGTGTTGGGCTTGGCGGTTGCGTAAATGAGAGCTGTAATGGTTGTGCTGGTGGGATGGGATGAGATCATGGGGATGATGTGGATGGGTTGGAGGGAATTGGGAGTGGGATGGTTGGTAGGGAGGGGTTGGGATTACTAGTTGAGGAGAGGGATGCTGTTCATGTAGTTAACAAGGTGGTGAGGGTTGGTCTGGTGGTGGCACTGGCTACTGGGGTATAGATTATATTCTAGTATGTGTCTGGTATATGGCGTCTACCGTAGATGTAGATGTAGATGCACTGTAGACAGATGTATCCGCAAATCAAGCTACGATATAATCAGGTTCTACTACAGCATGCTAACTGGTCAATGACTTATGCTCTACATCCTCGTATAACATGGTCTCATCGTATCATGCAACCCGTATAATGATCATATACACAAGCAGACGCTACAACCGTGCCCTAACCTTGGCAGCAGCAACAGCAGCAGCAGCAGCTCGTCCAGCTCGCCGGCCAAACACCGCCCCCGACGTCAGTCCACTGCCTCCCGGATAATTATCATAGAACAATCCTCCCAACATCTCGCCCGCACAATACAACCCCGGCACTTCGCGATTCGTCGTCGACGACACCACCGCCGCCGTATCCGGACGCACCGCCAACCCTCCAAACGTAAAGGTGATGCCCGCCGTGACCCGAACCGCCAGGAACGGTCCCTGATCAATCGGCAACGCCCAGTTGGACTTGGGCACCGCCAGCTCCAACCCCTCCGACTGCGTGGACAACCCATCCTTGACAGCCGGGTCCCATTTCCCTCCCGGCTGACGACGCTGCCGCTCATAGACCGCCCGATTGTACTCCTGAATGGTCTGCTCAAACCGCTGCGCATCCTCGAGATCAAACTCGGCACACTTCAGCGCCAACTCCCCAATCGTGTCCGCACTGATATGTTGCACCACCTCCGGCCGATACTCCTCCGTCCGCAACCACGGAATCGTCCGGGAATCCCAGATCTGAAACGCCATGTGGCCCGGCTGATTGAGAATCTGCCGTCCGATCATCGCATACGTATAGTTGCGCAGATCCGACCCTTCATCCACGAACCGATTTCCCTGCCGATTGATCATAATCCCCAACGGATACCCGGACTTGGTGAACTCATTTGAGATCTCCCGATCCCCCGTATCCGCCGGCGCATTGGCATCCCATGCCACACAGTGACAGCCGGACCAATTGCCCGCTTGCTGGGCAGATACATCCCGGATCGCCATCTCAAACCCATCCCCGGAGTTATACGGCGTGCCGCGCACCAGCGCCACATCCCAATGCGGGCCGAGATACTGCGCGCGCATCCGCGGATTCGCTTCAAAGCCCCCCGCGGCGAGAATCACCGCGCCAGCCCGAAGGACCTGATCCCGACCATCATGCGAGACCACCACGGCCGTGACAGCCCCCGTCCCCGGATCCGTGACGAGTTTCCGCGCCGCTGTGGAAAAGAAGACCCGAATGCCCAGTCTCCGAGCAGCCTGCAAATGGTCCTGAATGAGTCCCTTGCCCCCATCTTGAGTTTTCAACGCCAGACCACCCCAGAACTTAATCCGGCCATGGACTTCATAAGCTTGGCGATTGAATGACAATTGAAACCGCACCCCATTCCCAGCGAGCCATTTTATCGCCGAGTTCGACTCATGAACTAGCGTATGACACAGCTCACGATTCGTCCGTCGCCCCGTGACGCGGTTCATATCACCCGTAAAATCATCGACCGTGTATGGGTTCATATCGATTTTCTTCGCCGTAGCTGCATCGACATTATTCACGATGGGAAGGAGATCCTCTAGACCCCCGTGAACAGTCCGCATCGCTCCCGCTGTGAAGTAGGAGTTCCCGCCGGCCCATTCTTCCGGACATTTGTCAATGATGGTGACTTGTTGGGCGCCGGACTGGGCGGCGGAGATGGCGGCGCAGAAGCCGGCGTTGCCGCCGCCGATGACGAGGACGTCGGTTTCTGAGGGGAGAGACATGATGGTTAGATAGTGAAGTAAACGTCCATAGGAGCTGGGAATGGATGGTATGTACCTGGGTGGATGGCTCATGGCGCGTTTTTTGTATGCGATGCGTGCGTGGGTTGGGACGGAGAGTTATCCTCCGTCGGTGCCACGGGCGGAACCAGTCCTCCCGACGCCTGACTTCGGGTCAGCGCTTCAACGTCATTCGGAGGATTGGTTGTGGAGATCGCAGGAACTGATCGCGTCCACGCATGGTCTGATGCGGCTTGACTCCGCAGTGGAAGCGGGGAATCGGGTCGATCGCGGAAGCCTGCTCTTACAGTTATAGGGCACTCCGTAGTGGTAAATGGTAGTGGTAGTGGTAGAAATAGTGGCAATATGTGGAATGCATTGACTACTAATCTTGGAAGATAGACGCCAAATCCCCAAAACACCATATCGAACAGCCCAGATGCAAAGTAGAAAAACACGAAGAGGTACAAATTAAACGCTGCTTCAAACTATGATAGACAACTCGGCCCGGTCGAGGCCATCGTCCTCCAGGCTGGGGTAGTAAGGGATCATCGCGTCCGCACTCTGCACGTACGCATCGTTGTACAGTCGCCAGTAGGGCACCCGCACCTTGCGCGCCGGGTGGAACAGACCCGCCCACACGTAGTTCATCACCACGCCGGTGCCTACCGCCATCCGGATCGCATCGATGGCTTCAATCACCCGGTCGATCACGTGTGGACTGGTCTCGAAGATGTTGGGGAACACCAGGTTGAGAAGATGCACCATCGCATCTTCACAGCCCAGCCCAACCACGCCCAGGGCGATGTGCTTGACCACGCTGGCGGCCGTCTGTCGATGCACCTGGTCGCGATCGATGAGGGCATCTTCCAGCAACGGCGTCACCGCATACACGTAGTCCTTGGCCATCTCGCCAATGTACTCGAACAAGAAGGACATGGCCTTGAGCACACCGTTCTGCACGTTCAGTTCCGGAACCCGGTACTCGTTCATCAACGCCGGGAGGACGGTAAAGGGCGCACAAGTCTCCGCCACGATACCAATGGCGACGGCGGTACACACACGGGACTGACGTTCCTGGACACGCAGGTTGTTGAGCAGCGTCGCCAACACATCCTGCGGACCAATGGCCTTGGCGATGAAACCGAACGTGTTGTTGGCAGCACGGCGGATACCCTTCTTGTGCGCCTTCAGCATGTCCAGCAGCTCGAAGCAGATACGCATCCACTCGCGGGCATTGACCGATTCGGGGCCACGATCCGCGATACGACCGACCAGATCGATGGTGTTCTCTTGCACCTTCTCGTGACGGTTACGCAGAATAGGAGTGAGTCGGGGCAGCAGATCCCGGATCGGAGGCTGCATCTGGTTGATACCCACCACGGTGACGATCGAACGGAGGGCACCCAGGATGGAACCAAGCACCTCGGGGTACTCCTCACCCAGGTATTCGTAGAGCACGATACCCAGCTTGCCCATCAGCGCGTCCTCGCCACACTGCTTCATAACCATGGCAATGCGGGAGATGAGATCCGCAGCCTGCTGGCGGACCGTGGCCGACTTGTTGTTCAATCGCCACAGAATGGTACTGACGATCTGGGGGAGGTACGGCTTGCAACGAGTGCCGAGGGCGTTGACGACGGTGCCAAAGCCGTTCAGGATCACAATATCCTCAATGCTCTGCTCCTGGAAGGCATACAGGACACCATCAATGAGTCGTTCCTCCAGGCGCTCGGAAATATCAGCAGCACCAAGGGCGGCGATCAACTTCTCCACGGTCTCGACCGTCATCTTGCGGTAGGGCTCGCTTTCGTCCTTGAGGTTGTTCACCACGCGCTCCAAGATCTCACCCACGCCGACCTTCTGGCCGAGGTCGACCGTCGTATCGACCACCTGGCGGTAGTTTCTCCGATCCAGCGCCATCCGCCGCACCCAGAAGCTCTTGAAAAAGTCGGTCAACACGTGTTCCTTCAGGTAGCTGGCTGTCACACCGTCGGTGCTGGCGCACTGCGACACCACCTTCAGGACGACCTTTTTCATCTCTTCGTCCGGGGAGGAGAATTCACGAAGCAGAATCTCCATGATCTGACTGGTATAGTAGTTGGCATATTCCTCGTCCATAAGAGGGATGATATAGCCGACGGCCTTCAAGAACGCAGCCAGACCTTTGCCGCGCTGCTTCCGGGCTCCAGTCCACAAGGGGTTGAGGATCTCGTCAAAACTCTCGATACCGTAAGGGTTGGCGGCCTCGGCCAGAGCAGCCACGGCCAGAGCGGTGACTGTGCGGACCTTGGCTTGCTCGTCACTCAGATTGTCGGCAATACAGTCGACCAGCCCCTTCAGGTGGGGAAGAATGGCACAACCCATGAGGATAGGAATCTGCTGGACAATCTTGACACCGGTGTGCCGGGCCTGCCACGACTTCTTACTCCGGCACACAGCACGGAGGAACGGAAGAAGCGCCGGGATACCCAGGGCAGAAGCCACGACAGCAAACGCGCGAGCAGTCGTATTACGGACATACTCGTCGACATGGTCGATATCGGGACGCATAGTACTGATCATCGTAGCCAGACCGGCCGCCTTGGCCAAGTTGGAGATGATCTCACGACCTTCCACACGCGCATAGTAGTCTTGATCGATAAGCAAGGGCTCGATGACGACGAGAATCTTGTGAACGTAGGGACGGACCAGATCGTCCAGCTTGTACAAGACACGGTCGATGACCTTGACCAACAGATGGCGCTCTTGGTCTTCGAGCGACTTCTCCATCAAAAGAGGGAGGATCTGGTTGAATAAAGGTCCAGCACCAAATTGCCGGGCGTTGTCCGTGAGCTGACGCAGGGCAGTCTTTCTCATCGGCGGAGTGCCGTTCTTCACCTTCAGCAACAACCTCATGATCTTCCGCTCCTTCAGCTCCTCCACAGACATCGCACTCTCGTCTCCACCCTCCATCAACTTTCCAAAGTAGGCCATATCTTCCGGCTTGAAAAACTGCAGATCACCGACACCAGGGATCTCGGTGGGAAGCTGCTTGCCCAATTGCCGAGCACTTTCCGGCTCCTGCATCATGAAACCTCCCACGCCCGTGGCACTGGCCATCGGCGCGGGGGTGGCCATGAGCTTTCTCGCAGGGTTCCGGATCGGGGCGTAACCCGGAGGCGGCTCGAGGATCTTGTAGCCCTCCGAGGGCAGCATCATATCCAGTTCTTCGTCCGACAGAGGGGCATTGCGCGCAGAGATATCAGTTCCAAAGCTAGAGGGCATCATAGGTACACCTACTTGGGACGGGTGCATCGGGGTAGCAAGCCCGGCGTTGCCCACGGGGGTGGCAGCGGCAAGAGCCGGTGCCTGATCCCATCGTGAACGGCGTTTGGGGGCATCCTCGGCGCCCGGCACAGGAGGAGCGGGTGTCTGATCCCAGCGAGACCGCTTGGCCTTGGAGTCTGCGGGCTGCGCGGCCTCGCCCTCCGGTGCCGACTCAGTAGGTTCCGACGCGACATCCCACCGCTGCTTACGCTTGCGACCGGTGGCAACCGAGACCGTAGAGCCCGCGTCGGCGTTTTCCTTGTCTTCCAACGTCAACGTGGCCTGATGCTCCGGAACATCGTCCTCTCCACGGCCCTGCTTGTCTGCGATCAGCTTCTGCACACGCTCTTCTTCTTTTTCAAGCTCACGCAGAGCCATCACTTCACGATATGTCTGGCCGCCCTCCCCTTCCACGTTTGCATGTGTGTTCGCGGCAAACGGATCAGCGCGCGTCGGCGTCAGCGGGCCCCGGTTGAAACGACGCTTCTGATAATCGGTCTCGCGATCTGCGATGCGGGCCGCCTTCTCGCGTCCGAGCAGAATGTCCTCCTCTTCCACACCATTGCCCTGGGCAAACTCATCGATCTGACTTCTGGTCGCGGTGTACTGGCCCACCAGACGGTGGCCCCCTTCCGCATCCTCCATTTCTTCGTCCTCGCCATTGACGGCGATGGAAGTGTCGTATCCCGCAAACTTGTCCGCGCCCTCGCGTTCGTACAGCGTGGTGTCGAAGGTTTCAGTCAGGGAGGCCTTGGTCGAGTTGTCAGTGCGCTGGCTAGACGGATCAAAGGTCCTAGAACCTTTACTCGCAGCTGCAGCAGCGTTCCGCTCAGCTTGGAGCCTTCGGACGGCTTCGAAATCAGCTGTAGCATGGTTAGCTCGGGGGAGAAAGTCATGTTCGCAATCGGGGGCGTACCGTCGGACATGGTGGCGGTGGTGGAGATCCCAAAGACGAGATAGAGAACAAACACTCCCAGGCAGGGGTAACAGCAGCTACATTCGGATCAAAAAGATGGTAATGGCGACCTTTGGGGGCGATAGAGGACGCTGCGCTGATGGCTCACGATGAAAATATCAGACGTGAAGTGAAGTTCGGCGGCGGGACTAGATGGATGACTAAGGTCACGTGGTTTTCATCATATGCTCCTTTCTTCAACTTCTTCTCCTCTTCTCCTCTTCTCCTCTTCCCTTCTTCTCTTCTTCTTCTTCTTTGAGGGACTGTCTATTGATTTAGCAGAATGATAAAGGGTATAAATCCTGTATAGTGCCTTTCGAATCATAGCTCCTTCTCTGATACAGGAAGAAACATATTCAACACCATGCCCTTATAATTCATGCAACAGACATCTGGAGCTAATCAAATTCGATTCAAAGCTCATATAATCAATAAATAGACTGCTCGCCTTGGATACATGTACTGCGATTAATAAGTGTTGTGAAGATTGACGATTGTAAAGGTTTCACTAATATGGATCATGGCGTCTAGATATATATTCCGATGCGGCCCATAGGTACTCACATCTCTTATCGATCTGCTGTATGAGCATAAATGGCCGGGTCCAGGAACTTCTGAATCAATACCAGTTAGTCAAGTTACGTGTATCACAAGGCTCAACTAAATTGAGAGTTACCAGGCTCATGAATGGCTGGTCAAAAGGAAGCTTAAGCATCTAAACTATAGAGGCGAAAAGGGTGACCTGGAATCCTAAATCGGTAGGAAATTCCTCATTGAAATAATTGACATAATCCAGGCGTATGTCTTTATCCTCCTTGTGAGTGTTTTGAGGACATTACCTATAGGATTAGCTCACTTAACTTTCGGCCTGTCCCGTGTCACATTGATAGTTGCATATTCCGAGAAGGAGCATCCACTATGAGACGGTACTAATATTGTCTACTCCGTGGAATCTTTGTTCACGTCCGGTATGTTGATCTGGGATCGATTGATGCTTCAAAGCCGTCACTATGAGCTCCGAGGTGGGTACGGAGTACTCCGTACATGGGTCACAAGATGCTATCAAGAAGCGTTCCAGCAACAGTTTCCCTCCTGCAATATAGTTCCATTCTCAACATCATTTGGTGGTCATTCCGATGGCTGACTGAGTAGCTGACTAGAGACTTATGAGGCAAAGAGCTTCAAAGAATGTACTGGCTATCGGTCCCATCCCCGCGGAACTTTTACGGATGACATGTCTGTCTTAAAAGAGGGCCACTATGTGCTTGTTCTGTACGAAAAGGTCAGCATTCCTGTCATAGCATGTAGGACAGACATACCGCGCGTTGCAGCCCTGTGCAGTCATTCGCGCGAAGGTATAAAAGACTTGATTGCATGTATACACCCTTGACGTTTGCCTTCCACGGACTGCTCGACTTCAGTTTGACAATTGATTCCAAGATGGTGTTGCTTTATCAAGCAGCACTGCTACTTCTCCCACTACTTGGGTCTTTCTCTCATGCCGTCCAGGTATATACTTACTCGGGTGCTGTTTAGTTGTCCAAGCTAATCCCCCAGACCAAGGACTATCCTTCCACCTGCACCGATCCCTGTCTCGGTATTACCCCCGAGAATGGTACCAACATATATTGCGACTACTGCATCTGCAACAATCGGCTGCTTGGCCAGGTCAATTTCAACGCCACCGGCAACTGGACCGAGCTGTTTGAGGACTACGTCCCATTGGACAGCCAATGTCCCCAAGACTGGCTCTGCACCTGGGCCAACTGGACACAGACCGGCTTCAACAGCACGGTTCTCTACCCACCCAACGACGGCTTCAAAGGCTGTCCCAAAGCCGGTAGCCCCAGTGTTGGGGATTTCGTGGACCGCTTCGGGTCCGAATACGGCAGCTATCTTGCCCCCGCGGGGGTGCCGTTCGCGGCGAGATCCATTCCGCCGGGGAATTTGAATAAGTTTGATGGCAGCACCCAGTACAATTACTGGAAGTTTGAGGTCATGGCGGAGTTTGATGCCCTGGAGGGGGATATTCTGCCGTGGTTTGGTCAGCCCGGAGGTGGAAAACAGTGGTATGTGAAGAGCGGGTTGAGAGACTTGGTGAATAATGGCACGCTTCGTCTGGTGGTGGCGTCCACTTATGATGGTCCGAAGCAGGATGCGTGGGATAGCTTGAGCGCGCTGCATGGACCTATGATGATGTATCACTAGAGATATTCAAGAGGTTGGTGTGTCTATATATCGGTGAGAAGAACTTTCTACTATTGATCAGGTGTGATACACGAGAGAGGGAGATACCTTCCAATCATGTGTTATGAAGGCCACTACCACGTAGACCAACAGGAATATATCCCTTCCAGCTAAAGGGATAAAAGGTACAACAGACGTCTCAAGTGCTGTAAACCATGGTATCTCCCTGATAGTTTAGCATCTACCTTGTCAGCATTAAGAATCAAATGCTCGAAACTCACTAGGACAATATAGTCTTCAGTGACAGCATTCAGCATCCAGGTAAACTTCACCCAGATGACGATACCCAGAAACACACCATCTATAAGCCATGGACGAGTCCAATCGATAACCACATCTCCATAAATTCCCCAACAGCCAGATAAAAACCACAAGCACAATATCCCCAACCAAGACCTATGCCACAAGCATAGACAGGCCCAAGAAACACCCACCCACAATAAAACCACCCACGATACCAATATTACATACCCCAAACCCGTACAAACCCGTCTCAATCTTTCAAGCCCAGTGGCACACGAAACAATTGTATTTCCTCCTCAATGCCAATAATGACGCTCAGTTTCAATCTCGAATAATTAACCATAGATTAATGAACAGCAACACGGAGGTCCGTTCACTAGGCCATGATGTCATGGCTCCATTATCCCACCACGCGACATTTACCCGGAAACTAGCACAGAATCGAATAAAACCATTGTCGAAAAAATCAGACAAGGATCTAATGTTAAATAAATGAGTAGTTAAATCAATCTTAGACAAATTCAAAAAATAAAAAGAAATAATTAAACGGGCAACTCCCACCCCACCCTGTTTCAGCCCAATATTAATCACGGACTTGTAGCAGATTAATTAGGTCGGCCGCTGGAAACCTCAACGGTTTCCGCGTGCGCACGTACGTCCGCACGCCCCGGTGGAGACTTGCGGGATGTATCATCACCACTTACCAGTTACCACTGCACTACGGAGCTACTAGCATCGACATACCACTCTAAGACTAGTGAGATCGGGACCCAGTTGCAGTCGGTATACGTCAGCGCCAGCTGCATGGTTGCATGGTTGCATCGGGGGGATTCACACCTCGGTCCTGGGGCGCGGGTGGGTTGGTTGGTTGCGACGGAGGTCCGGCGACACAGACGGGTTGATATTGGATGAGTAATATATAATACGATACTAATTCTAATGTGTCGGTGGTGTTTCAGTTCGGGTTGGTGGTTCATTTATTACTAGCACCTTCGTTATTAGGTGTTGTGGTGGAGATGGTGAGATTGGTCGGTTGCAGCTGCATCAGGTGAGGTGAGTGAGGTGATACGGGGCTGAAAATGGCTGGACCTGGCGGTGGGACTCATCCATGTCTGCTAGGGAGGTAGGGAGGTAGTCCAGGTGTGTTGAGCAATTACAAAGTATTAGTGGAATTGGGCTGGTTTGCTGGATTAGGTAGAATGGTGGTCCCCGGGAGAGACGGAGCGTGCCCTTGAGGCCAGATTGGAAAGGAGCCTCGTGCAAAACTCTAGAGAAAATTGCAAACTTAGAAGAAGCTACGACGAATCGCTGGAGTCTTCCAGGAGCAGCTATGAGCAGCTTGAAGCAATGATCTGACCGAAGTAGATCGGTGACCTTGTTCGGTCAGGAGCGTCATCTCTATTCGCACTATTACTTCCTCCTATGCAAAGAGCAATAGATAATACCCATAACGCCAAGATGATAGAAGCAGGATGATAGAAGCGGTGATATGCAGACGGAATCGACAGCTCCAGGCAGTCAGGATGGTCTAGCAACAGCCTAGCGGATTCGGTCCAGCTTGGCCCGGTTCATGGCAATCTGGTCGTCCACAAAGTCGGACTACCACCAAGTCAGTCATAGATCGAAACAAGGACATCGCCAGACTTACCTTGGCTGTGATCCGCTCCAGATGGCGGTTCTGTTCGTCTAGCTCGCGACCCGTGGCCCGGGCCAGTCCGTTCAAACGACCCGCAGCTCCCGACAGCAGATCCAGGTTCTGCTCGATTTCATCTTCCATCGCCTCATCCTCGCTGTCCGCCTCGAATTGATACTTGGCACGCTCGGTGACGTTCGTCCGGCTGCGTGTGGTCTGCTTGGCCGCTTCTCTATCGATCTCTCGGAACGTGCGCTCCATGCGCTGGTTGGTCTTGAAGGCCTCCTTCTCGGTACCCTCGCGAGTATCCCGCTCCGATCGGTGCGTGTTCAAGATCCGCTCATCACGCTCCCGGCGCCGCCGAGCACTGGTGAAAGGGTTGGACACGTGGACCGCAAACATGCTCTTGTTGAGTGTCTTCAGCTCCTTGGCTTTCTCCTCCGCAATGCGACCCTCCACGGTGGCAACATCCAAGCTCCGCTCGGCATCATGAATCCGCTCTCCCTGGGCACCCAGACGGGCAAGAGTCTCTCGTCCCGTCTCCTCGGCCTGTGCAGCAATACGGAGGGCATTCCGAGTCGAAGCGACGTCACCCTGCTTGATGAACCGCATATCCTGTTTAATAGTCTGGATTTCCTCCTCCTCCTCTTCCTCGGCAGTGAGGTTCCGCTCCTGGTAAGTGGATGTATTGTACTCATTGCTGCCGCCGCCGTAGGCCGCTGATCCTTCGGAATAAGGAGGGGGAGGGCCACCGGCCTGCTGCTGTTGCTGGACACGTTCGCGAGCGCCACCGAAAAGAGCATCTCTGTTGCTATCCGCGGGGTCATTGGGATCGGCACTGCCTAGCCCCCCATAGCCGCCAGGGCCGTACCGGGACGCCGCAGGGGCAGCACCCCCGCCGCCAAAGCGATCGGATCCATAGCCGCCCTGGTTTCCGTATTTGTTCGGCGCATAGCCCTGCTGTTTGTTGTCGCCGGGAATATTGTGAGCGCCCGAAGGGCCGCTTGGTGGAGGGTGTTCTCCCGCCGGTAGAGGGGCCACTCCCGCCTGGATCTTGGCCTTGGTGTAAGGGTCTGTCGGGATGGGTTTAGCGTAGGGGTTGGCAGGTGGTGCCGGACTCTTGCTCTTCGACCGGGAGCCGAAAAGTGCCAGACGGTTGGAGGAATCCTCCTCGTTGTCGTCCCCGGACTTTTTGAAACCGAATCGGCCCATGGTGAAGGAGATTAGTAGTATAGGGCGGTAATGAGAGGCGGAGAAGCGAAAGAAATGAGAAGCGAGGAGTATTATATTATAGAGACCGAAAGAGGACAGATGGAGGTAAGAAAGGGGATAAGAGAGGACCAGCGAGGCACCAGCGCGAAAGATGTGAAACTGTGATAATAATAGTAGAGAATGGTCAGGGGAGCAGCAGTCAGAAACGCCTCCTTAGGCATTATTGGATGGGGTCGAGACCAAGGCGGAGGGTATTCCCGATACAGCGGATTTGGGGCGGAACACTGCAAACCGAGGGGCTATCATCAGTAATGACGGTATTCAAACCGCAGACATGACAGGCAGTGCAGCCTCTAATCCCATTGAGGCTAGCGCAGTGGCTGGACCCTTGCTCAGCCGCGAACCACCGCCGCTGCAAACATGCAAACGTGGCGGGCCAAGCTGGTGGTTGGCACCGGCGCTTCACTTCGTCCATCTCTCCCTCTCAGCTCTCCAATCGCATCACGGAGAATGCTTCACTGCAGCCATGGCGCCGTATCCAGGGTCTGATGCCGACTATTTTAGGGACAAGGCGCGTAGGGACTTGTTGACTCTCCTTGAAGGCGTGAGTAAGCCTCCGACGTGTCCCTGAAGGCAGCAGCCATCCTCTTCGCGTCGTACATGGGCTGAATGTTGTGCAGGTGCGTGGTAAAAAGAACCTCGTCGTCAGTCAGGATCTGGCTGGGCCAGTCGGGCTGTTCGTCAAGTTCTCTCTGCTCCAGGAATACGGTGTAGATCGTGTGTTCCTGCTCGAGAATGGCAACGTGGACTCGACGCAGCGCAATGTCGTCTTCCTCGCCCATGCGGAAAAGATACGCCAGGTCCGGGCCGTGGCAGGTATGTCCTTTCTTCCGGATCACCACGTGCTGCCTCTATTGTAATCCCCTCCGATACCTCCTCACTCCATGGCGGAGCTATCTCTATACCTCTATGTGACAAACAATAGATTACGCAGATCTATGCCCCACTCTACGTAGTCAATCCAGAGTTCCCAACATAGAGATTGTATACAGCTCATTTCAAGGCTTTCATTCTCACATCTGATTGAATGCCATCAGTATGAGCTAACATCCCTCTAGAACAGGTGCAGCGCCTTCAGCGCAACGGCAATGTTGAACATGAGCTGTCCATATTCTGGGTCCCCAGGCGGACTCTTGTAAGCAACTCCATCTTGGAAGAAGCAGGCATCATAGGAGATGTGAACATCGCCGAGTTTCCCTTGTACTTTGCACCTCTGGAGCAAGACGTGCTATCACTGGAGCTGGATGATTCTTTTAGCGATCTATATTTGGTAAGAACGTGTGACATCCGGTCAGTGATCACGCTGTTAACCCAGGCTGTACAGCACAAAGATCCCGGATGCATCTTCCACGCCGCCAAAGCCCTCATGGACATCCAGCAGCGACACGGCTATTTCCCCCGGATCATCGGCAAGGGTGACCATGCACGACGCCTAGCCGACCTCCTGCTGCGGATGAGAAAGGAACTGGATGCGGAAGAGAGCTCCGGGTTGGCTGGAGTCTCCGCAAGAGGGCTCCTTCCCAGCGCCAGCACCGAAAGCCTCATCATCATCGACCGTCAAGTCGACTTTGGCACAGCCCTTCTCACACAGCTGACGTACGAGGGTTTAATCGACGAGACAGTCGGCATCAAGAACAACCAGGCAGACGTGGACACATCCATCGTGGGACCTACCGCGGTGCCCCAGGCCCAGGAATCTTCCAAAGCCCCTCAGCAGTCATCGAAACAGGGCCAAAAGCGAAAAGTCCAACTCGACTCGTCCGACCAACTCTTCAGCCAGCTGCGGGACGCCAACTTCGCCATCGTCGGCGACATCCTCAACAAAGTGGCGCGCCGTCTCGAAAGCGACTATGAAAGCCGCCATGCCGCCAAAACCACCACCGAGCTCCGCGAGTTCGTCAACAAACTGCCCACCTACCAGCTAGAGCATCAGAGTCTCCGCGTCCACACCAACCTCGCCGAAGAAATCATGCGGACCACTCGCTCCGACATCTTCCGCAAGATCCTCGAAGTCCAGCAGAACAACGCCGCCGGCGCCGACGCCACCTACCACCACGACGCCATCGAAGAGCTCATCGCCCGCGACGTTCCCCTGAAAACCATCCTCCGCCTCCTCTGCCTGGAATCCTGCATGTCCGGCGGCCTCCGACCCCGCGACCTCGAAAACTTCAAACGCCAAATCATCCAAGCCTACGGCCACCAACACCTCCTCACCTTCTGCGCCCTCGAGAAAATGGAACTCCTCCAACCCCGTACCTCCGCCACCACCACCCTCCTCCCCACCACCACCACCACCACCGGCGCCCAACCCGGCGCCAAAACCAACTACAGCTACCTACGCAAGACCCTCCGCCTCGTCGTCGAAGAAGTCAGCGAAAAAGAACCCAACGACATCGCCTACGTCTACAGCGGTTTCGCCCCCCTCAGCGTCCGTCTCGTCCAATGCGTCCTGCAAAAACAATACATCCTCGCCCTCGCCCGCGGCGGTCCCATCACCGCCGCGACTGCCACCCCCGCCAGCGCTACCTCCCCGGGCTGGCTCGGCTTCGAGGACGTCGTGAAGAGCGCGCGCGGCGCGACCTTCAGTATCGTGCAAAAGGGCGATGATAAGGCTATCCGGGCTCGTCAGACCATTAGTGGTACGAACGCTGTCAAGACGGTTTATGTTTTCTTCCTGGGTGGGATTACCTTCACGGAGATTGCTGCTCTGCGGTTTATTGCGGCGCAGGAGGCTCCGAGACGGAAGATTGTGATCTGTACGACGAGTGTGCTTAATGGGGATCGGATGATGGATGCGGCGATTGAGAGGGGGAGTTTTGCGAAGGTTGAATGAACGTGGTAATGTAGTGGTACTGGTAGTAGGAAGGTGGTATATGATATCCTCTCTTAAGCCTGACAAGCAATACTAGCACGCACACATATACAAGTCCAATAAGTAGAGGGCACTACATCCCTAGGAAACTACTCCATAACACATCTCACATCCCATCTCATCATCTCACCCAGTCAGAAAAGATACTAATATCTAAACCCACTCCCCACCCCCATCAACCGTCCCTGATACCTCTCCATCACCTCCCCCAACTTCACCATCATCCCCGCAGCCAACGTCCTCACCTGTTCCCTGGGATCACTCGCATCCTGGACTGGCGGCGTCCGATCAAATACCTGTCCCACCCACTCGCGCAACTCCATGACCTGCGTTGCGAACTCCGTGACGAGTCGCTCTTCCCCGGAGGTTCCGGATGCGACGTTTAGGTCTACGGCCGCGAGGAAGAGGGATAGTAGGGCGGATAGGATCCCCGGGTCGTCGGAGATGGGGCGAGCGTGGAGGGAGAGTAGGAAGGTGAGGGTTTCGTGGGTGAGGGCGGGGAGGTGGGGGGTGTGGGGGCCCATGGTGGAGAGGGTGAGGGTCAGAGTTTGGATGAAGAGAGTGAGGAGGTGGGGGGTGTAGAAGGGGTTGTAGCTGGGGGCGGTGGAGCTGTGGTTTGTTGTTAGTGGGTGTTTCTTGGGAGATTGTTGGGAGTAAGGGGGCGGGAGATTTACGAGGAGAATTGCATCATCATCATTTCGAAACGGCCTTTGAGGGGGTAGAAGAATCCGTCTGCGAGGACTTTGTAGAGGTCTTTGGCGGTGGATTTCTGTCGTTGGGCCTCGCGTTGCTGACGCTTCTTTTCGACTTCCATTCGTGAGGAGAAGGTGCGGACTTTGAGGGCGTTGGGGCCGGATAGAGCGTCTGAGGCGTTGGCCGCTAGTGGTTCGAGGGACGCGCGTGATAGTTGCTTGGTTAGGCTGGCGATGGGGGATTCGGTCTCGGGTAGATATAGGGCTTCGAGGGTGTCTGGAAGTTTCTTCGATGGGAATGAAGCGTCTGCGAGGCCCGGGAGGCCTAGGGCTTCGGCGTCTGCTTCGCCGTTTCCGCCGAGTTCGCGAGCGCTCAGGCCCAGGGCTGTGAGGATTGCAGAGCGTTGGGGTTGAGATAGGTCCCCGTCGAAGAAGATGGCCGAGAACCAGTGGCCCATTTTGAAGGGCTGGGATACTATGAGGGCGATCATGCTTTGAAGCTGATATTCGTGGAACTTGGGGATCTTTCCATGCTCTTGTAAGCCCACGATGACGAGAGCCAGTTCTTCGAGGTTCTCTGCAAGCTCTGTTCCAAAGCCGGTCTTGCGTCGGATCAGTGAAGGGGCCGTGGTCAGGGCCAACTCGTAGCGTTCTGTGTTCTCGGTGTCACGAAGGTAGGTGATGAGGTCGCGGATGTACCTAGGCTATGTTAGAATCTGTTGATATTATAGTCTGTTTGACTTACACTGGTGCGGTAGGTTTGTTGCGCTGGACTAAGGTTGGATCGTCGTCGGAATCTGAGGCGTCTTCATCGGGCTTCTCATAAGGTATGAGATCTTCGTCTTCTTCCTCATCCTCGGAGTCATTTATCTCTTCTATAGCAACAATCTTCGCGGTTCTGTTTATGGCTTGCTTTGACGTGCTGGCCCGGGAGGCGGACTGTTTCTTGGTCTGCGTTGCTGTCGGTTTCGCGGGCTCTTTCAGCGACTGAATGGATTCAGCAGAGCCAATGCTGTCGTTCGTTTTAGCGAGATCTAGGTACCACAATGCTTCATCGCTCTCCATCTCTTCAAGATTAAACTTCATTCCCTTGCCCTGCTGCTCGATGATCTCCGAAATTGCGGTACCGATCAGCATACCGAGGAAGCGAGCACGAGGGGAAGAAGCTGCTAGACGATTTGAAACCGTGTTGAGGAATATTCCGGAGCGTCCGATGAAATGCATCGCTGCTGGATCGAGATGCCGGAGATAGCCCGCCGCTAGCAGAACGACTTGGGCATTGGCTAAGAGATGTTAGCTTTCGTACTGATTGATGCGGCGATAAGTTACCTTCTTGGCACCTGATGGGGGCGTGCTTGATGTAAAATTTGTCGCCTGATTGATCCATACTCTTTCTGATGAGAGAATTTATCAAATCTAGACAACTCGTGTCAGTAGAAAGAGCATTGTCTAACAAAGGTCTTGTCCTACCTTCTTCTTGTGCAAAAATAGCCACTAAAGCACGGCGAAGCCCCACAGTATTGATTGAACCGCCCTGGCCTTTAGATAGCCAGTCTATAAGGTGAGCCTGCAAATGTGGCCGCTTTAAGATGAGAATCGAGCATAGAGCCGCCACACTGCTGATCACCTGGCCTGACGTGTTACTGGCTTTGTCACCAGGGATCTCGCCTGAAAAATGCCTCCGCTCGACATCCCGAAAGACCGCTTCGAGTATCGCCAGCTGCTCTGTTGGCCGGAGATGGTCAAAAAGTGCGCTGTATTGTTCGGAATGAGCCTGCTGAACCAGAAGTCCAGGGTAGATTTCTCTGACCAATTGATCTGGATTGACTCAGCATAGGTTGCGGAAAACGAAGCATGCCAACATACCTGTATATCCTAAGCTCAGCGCTCGCCCGGACAATAAAGCCACAGCTTTCCAGGCCTCCTCATCATCGAGAGCAATCTTCGAAGCCATGTGGCAGATATTTGCACCTATCCAGGAAGCATACTTTGAACCTTCCCCGACCCATGAGATCGTAGCAAGACCGTCAAGCTCAGAAACCAAAGTAAGTGCTTCTGCCGCCGTGGACAAAACTCTACTGGCCGCAATTAGTGAGAGCAATTCTCTCCAGGCCACTTGCTTCTGTGTTGCGTTACTGTAAAGTCTCCCAATATCTGCATGAAGACGATACGCAAAGTCACTCGGCTCCAGCAGGGCCGAGATGACTGCAAGAATATCCCGGATCTGTATATTATGGCCTGATGATTTCGCTTGCTGAGCCGAGGAACGGCACGCAGTTATGAGAGAACGGAGTTGGGCCACCAAGCAGCTGATACCTGCGACACTGCTGAGACACCTCAACAGAGCGGCCCGTAGCTTCTTATTCCCGGCCTTAGAGCCCCGAGACCGTGCATCAAGAGAGTCCCAATGGTCCGGAATGGTATTGTTAACCAAAGCATTGAGGATCTGCGCGGTTACTGGGCGCGGGACTCGTATGTCAAACCCATCTGGAGCTGTTGCCTTATTTGATGGATCTAATACGGCAAGCATTTGAGCAAGTTCATCTTGGTCGGGCTTCGACTTCAAGACAGCCAAGATGTGATCTGACGATGTTGCGTCCCCGGGGAGATCGGCTTTGGGCCGGGCTGCCTGCCCGTCAGACGTCGTGACTAAATTTGGCCTCTCCCCAGCAGGCGACAAGGCCGGTTGTTGGTCGGGTTTGACCGTCTTGATAGCTGTAAGTAGGCCATCCATTTTATGATTGTGACATTGCCTTCGTATCGATCCTGGGGATGAAGAACCGAGATGCGAAGGTGGAGGAAATTGTATGGAGCGGAGGGGTCACGTGGGGCGGTGCTGTATCGCTCAGTCCACGAGCCACCATTCGAGCCCAGCATCGTCACCTTCCTTCAGTTTCCCCCGCGCTATCCGCAACCTTCGATTATCGGATTATACCCTCTCATAACTTAGGATAGTGGAGTTACTGCTATAATTAAAGCATCGACCCCTATCGCCCAACGTTACCCTGGTGCCCCCAATCACTGTACCTCGGTAGCACCAGGAGCCTTGCCCAAGCAACAAGATCTAGAGTAGAGGCTATTCCATACCGAGTGTAGCTTAACTGGAGAATACTTGCCAAAATGGCATCCTCAGACACATCGCTTCGATGGTAAGGGTGCCCTTTCAGATCATGATCATGCTGCTCACACCTCTAGGAAACATCTATACAGAGTCCTGACCACGTCTGGTCCCTTCAGCGATGAGGACTGGGTCCCTGGTCAAGAGACGATAAGCGCTCTGGAGTCATCAAAAGTTCTGTACGTATCTACGAACATGTTGATCCATCCAACTCACTGACGACGCTACAGGGTCATGTTAGTCCAAGTGATTCTATACTTCACTTAAAACTTCAATAGAGATACTAACTAATCTCACCCAAAGAGGAGCTGGAGGTCTAGGCTGCGAGATCCTGAAGAATCTTGCCTTATCAGGCTTCAAAGACATTCATGTCATTGACATGGGTAAGTGCCCCCTCATGATACACCACCAGAGCAACGCATAACATGCACAGATACAATCGACATCTCAAACCTGAACAGACAGTTCTTGTTTCGTCAATCAGACATCGGCAAGCCTAAAGCTGAAGTTGCTGCCGCGTTTGTAGAAAAGCGGGTCAAAGGCGTCAAGATCACCCCGTACGTAGGAAAGATCCAGGACAAAGACGAAGAGTACTACATGCAGTTCAAGATTGTCGTCTGCGGTCTGGATAGTATTGAAGCTAGACGATGGATCAACTCCACGTTGGTCGGAATGGTCGATTTCGAGGACCTAGAAAGTCTCAAGCCGCTCATTGATGGTGGAACGGAAGGTAGGTCGCTTCTCGTCAAAAAGCGAGGACAGACACCGCTGACAACGAACCAGGATTCAAGGGCCAGGCGCGTGTGATCTTACCTACACTCTCTTCTTGTATCGAGTGTCAGCTCGACATGCATGCCCCTCGACCTGCCGTCCCACTCTGCACTATCGCTACTATCCCTCGCCAACCCCAGCACTGCATCGAATGGGCACATCAGATTGCCTGGCAGGAGAAACGCAAAGACGAACCGTTCGACACCGACGACATGGAGCACATCGGCTGGGTTTACAACACCGCTCTCGAGCGCGCCAAGCAGTTCAACATTCCCGGCGTCACCTTCCAAATGACCCAGGGAGTAGTGAAAAACATCATCCCGGCGATCGCCTCGACCAACGCCGTGATCGCAGCCGCGACTACCTCCGAGGCATTGAAGATCGCCACCTCGTGCAACCCCTACCTTGAGAACTACATGATGTACGCGGGCGAGGAGGGTGTCTACACCTACACCTTCGAGGCAGAGAAGAAACGAGACTGCCCTGTGTGTGGAAACCTGGCACGGAAATTGACGGTGGATCCGAACATGACGCTGGAAGAGTTCATCGAGACGCTGGGAGAGCGGCCGGAAGCCCAGCTGAAGAAGCCTAGTATGAGAACAGAGGAGAAGACGCTCTACCAACGGTTTCCGCCCCAGTTGGAGGAACAGACTCGACACAACCTGAAGCTCAAGCTGAACGAGTTGATTGAGAATGGTCAAGAGATCGCAGTCAGTGACCCGGCGTATACGATCGATTTCCGCTTCCGATTGGTATTCCAATAAATGGGCGAATGATCCGTCTCGAGATAGACCTGCGACTACATATGAAGAGTCCCTGATGCTGCTATGATCATCATCAAGACCTAGGAAGTCAAATCTGCTTTTTCTATCTCAAAAGATCCCAGTCCAGACTCCCAGCAATTGTAAAGAAGGTTGTCACCAACTTTTCGTAAATGTACAAAATCAACAAGACATCCAACGCCAGGCCAATGCATTATATAGCTTTGAATCATTTTTTTGGGCTGAGTCACGAATGACTTAGCGCATCAGGTCCGTCAAACCCCTCTTCCATCTGGCGCATTTCAGCTTCAGCACCTTGACACTCTCCAGGAAGAGGCTGTCGCTCTCGAACTGGCCAACACTTTCGATGTTGAAGATGAAGTGGTCGCGCATGCGACCGAGCTTGACCTTGCCCTGGAATTCCTCGTGTCGGAGACACTCCCGGCTGACGGTATCCTTGAACGGATCGACAACGACGGCCTTCTGTTCACCTTCGTGACCCTCATATCCGCTTCCCTTCTGCGCGGCCTCCTCCCGAGTAACGGGCTCAAGGCCGATGACACCGCTGGGGAAGCACTTGGCGAACTTCTTGGCGTCTTCTCCGATGATGGGGCGGAGGATCTTGATATCGGGCAAGAGACGGTAGCTGGCCGTGGCGACGGGCGAGAACTTGGCATGGTCGGCACCGATACCCTTGATGCAGTGAAGTTCCATTTCGATCGCCTGGCCCGGACGAAGCTTGGCGATCAGGATATCCGGGTTCACGGGCTGGATCGTATCCATGCCAACGAAGAACTGGTCCTGGCGACCGACGGGGTGGAAGGTGAGATCCTTGGCGTAGACGTGCGCATTCTTGTAGAGCTTGCGGGGATCCTCTTCCTGGGGATCCGCGTCGGGGTTCTTGGTGCATTCGACGTCCAAGCGCAACACGATGGTGTTGTAGTCGGCGGGGTTGCTGCCTTCCGGATCATCCTCGGTAGGCTTCTTGAACCAGCGCATCCAGTTGATACCCTCCACCGAACCCTTGAGGGGAATCAGACCCAGACGTTGTGCGAGAACTTCGTCCTGGATGACCGAGGTATTGTTGTGGACGAAGACGAATTCAATGGCGATGCTGGGCACTTCGGCCATGAGGATACGGCGGAAAGCATTGGCGATGGAGGCGTCAACACCGATCAGAGAAAAGGACGCTTCGAATCGCTCGTTGCGGTGAAATTCAATCTTGAGGTCCTATTCACGAGAAATGTGTGAGCGCAAAGCAATGGGAGGGAACGGCAACGCGAGCGCGGGAAGAAGCTGATTGACGTACATTCTTGAATTTTTCTAGGGACCATTCGTGCGACTCGCCAGGCCAATGGCCAGGGAAATCTGTCGAGGGGATGTTGGAGACGGTCTCCGGGTTGATGTCGACGAGCTGGAATCGCAATCAGCATGGGAAGAGAGAGAGAGGTCGAGAAATGATGACCAATGGACGGAGCATACCCTTCTGCGATCGAGCTCCTCCTGCGACGGGACGAGAGGCGCCATGATGAATGAGGGGGTGACGAGAGGTGGGGGAGGGGACGAGGTGGAAGAGGGACGATCTGGAGGGAGCATACGAAAAGTTCTTTGGCCGCGGCGGCAGTATTTTCTGCAGGCCGCAAAGGCGGACAAGACAGCACGGGTGTCTATAACGCACTTGGTTTTTCCGGTGGGCGGACACTAGGAATGGGCGGTATAGAGGGGCCCGGGCAGACCAACCAGAGGCGGGCTGATGACCATAAGCTCTGTTCACGTGACGACCCAAAATGTATCTCGCCAGGAAGCGCAACCTCCAACGAGCAGCAAGCGTCAGTCCGCATCGACTCCAATCCCGCCAATCCCCCCTCCTCCACCCCAATTGCGTCTGGATTGAGGGCTCCCCGCCTCACTTCCTCCTGGTCCTCACTCCCCGCTCTCCCGAATGGCTGCTTCCTTCACCCGCCTGGCGGGCAGCACGCCCAAAAGGCTCTGCCTCCGCCCCTCTACCTTCTCCAGACACAGTGCTATCCCCAGATGCCGGACGATCGCGACGTCGCTGCCTCGCCGCGCAGCTGAGCCGACCAGCTACCAGGCCACCCGCCTCATCCCGACCGACCCGACCTTCACATCTTTGGCCAACAAGGAGGGCCCTTCGGAGGCTGAGGTCGCTGCCGGACTCGAATCTGAGGATGTAGGAGCCGGCCGCAAGATCCGCCATTACACTGTCAACTTCGGTCCTCAGCATCCGGCTGCTCACGGTGTGTTGCGTCTGATTCTGGAGCTCAATGGTGAAGAGATCGTCCGCGCCGATCCCCACGTCGGTTTGCTTCACCGTGGTACCGAGAAGTTGATCGAATACAAGACCTACATGCAAGCCCTGCCGTATTTCGACCGACTGGACTACGTTTCCATGATGACCAACGAGCAGTGCTTCTCCCTGGCCGTTGAGAAGCTGTTGAACATTGACATCCCCGAGAGAGCCAAGTACATCCGGACGCTGTTCGGTGAGATGACACGAATCCTGAACCACCTGATGTCCGTCCTTTCCCACGCGATGGATGTTGGTGCTCTGACGCCTTTCCTGTGGGGGTTCGAGGAACGTGAGAAGCTTATGGTAGGCGCTTCGATTCCGGTCCCTCCGAGCCGCAAATGACTGACCCAAGGCGTCCAATTAGGAATTCTACGAGCGTGTCTCCGGTGCCCGTCTTCACGCTGCCTACGTCCGCCCTGGTGGTGTGTCCCAAGATCTGCCCCTGGGTCTCCTCGACGATATCTACCAGTGGGCTACCCAGTTCGGTGACCGCATCGACGAAACCGAGGAACTGCTCACGGATAACCGTATCTGGAAGGCCAGAACCCAGGGTGTCGGTGTTGTTAACGCTGCTGATGCTCTCAACATGAGTTTCACTGGTGTCATGCTGCGTGGTTCCGGTATCCCATGGGATATCCGCAAGTCCCAGCCCTACGATGCTTATGACCAGGTCGAGTTCGACGTGCCGGTAGGTGTCAACGGTGACTGCTACGACCGTTACCTCTGCCGTATGGAGGAGTTCCGCCAGTCCCTGCGCATTATCCACCAGTGCCTGAACCAGATGCCCGCTGGTCCCGTCCGTGTTGAGGACTACAAGATCTCTCCCCCTCCCCGTGCGGCCATGAAGGAGAACATGGAGGCTCTGATCCACCACTTCCTCCTGTTCACCAAGGGTTACGCCGTTCCCCCCGGTGAGACCTACTCGGCCATTGAGGCCCCCAAGGGTGAGATGGGTGTGTTCCTGGTCAGTGACGGTAGCGAGAGACCCTACCGCTGCAAGATCCGTGCTCCTGGATTTGCTCACTTGGGTGGTTTCGACCAAGTCTCTCGTGGTCACCTTTTGGCCGACGCTGTCGCCATTATCGGTAATTACTCTCCCCCTTTCTCGTCTGTCCGAACGACTCCACTAACTCGTATCTCCAGGAACGATGGATCTCGTGTTCGGTGAAGTTGACCGGTAGAAACGGGTGTGGGCCGTTTAATCTCCTCCAAGACCTGTAATAACAGCTCCAAACACATAACACATGACCCTGAATAATTGGTTGCAACAACAAAACAAAAATCTTGAAGTTTCTACTACTAGATGTGCAGATATCCCCCCCAAAGTGAGAAAGAGCAAGAACGAAAGACAAAGATTTAATTGTTTCATGATTTACATTCAGCTTGTGCTTGTGCTTGTGCTTGTGAGAGTTGTATATCAGGTCCTCTGTGGACGATTCAGAACCTACCTGCTGTACCAAATTCCATTTCCCTCTCTTTTTTCTTTCTTGGCGTTCTTTGTTCTCTCTTTTGTTTTCGTGTTCGTGTTCGTGTCCGTGTCGTCCGCGCTGTTTTTTTTTTTTTTTTCTCTTTTTCTTTTTATCTTATCATAAGCCTCCCTGTGTATAGTGACTAAAACATCGACTGTGATTGGATTTGATCTTGCTTTTGGTACAGGTACGGAGTAGGTTGGGCTAATTGGGGTGGGTTATAGTGGAAGTATTGGAAGTATTGGAAGTGATGGGCTTGAGTGTGGGTATGGTATCATGAACATGATGTGGTTTGGATGACTAACTTCCTATATCTATCTAGGCTGAGACAGAGGTAAGAAATGACTATGTATGAATGTATGAATGTATGCATGTGTGCAGGTATGTATGTAAGGCATGGTGACATGCGGCATTTGTGCAGAAGGAGAGAAGGGAATGTTGAGAACAACATGGGAATAAAAATTTATGAGGAAAGAAAGAAGTGAAGAGAAGAGAAAGAACCATGCATGCACCCGTCCGTCCATCAACTCCGTAAGCAGTAAAATATTCAAGGAAGCTGCGCGCGCCAATGCCGATGCAGGTAAACAAAAACATGCATGTCCGCTTGTCCGCCCGTAGAGCTATCGAACCATATTCACAGATGATGTGTCCCTAACGCCTATACATTGTCGTCGTCGTAGAAGAAGTCGATGTCTCGCGGTCTTCTCCGATTGTAGGACACAAAGTCGCTGTCACCCGGCGGGCGCTCGTCGCGGGAGTTCGCGGTCAGCATGCTCTGGATGCTCATGCAGACGCTTTCGACGGTCTGGACGGGGGACCAGCCGGCGGAACTCAGAAGATCGAGACATATTATTCCGTTGCTGTAGATGTGGGGGTGAATGGGGATCGGGCGGGGGTGTTCGGAGGTGGATGGACATTCGATAAATTGGACTTCGGGGGGTTCTAGAGGAGAATGCATTGGTGAGTTGAGTGGGACGGATGGGGAAGGGACGGATGGTTTAGTTACCAATTGGGTATTTGTTGCTAAAGGTGAATTTAAGTCGGTAGGTTTGGTTCTGGTAGAGCGGGTTGGAGTCCAAGACTTTAATGTCCATTTGCCATTCCTCGAGGTTGTCGGACTTGACGATTGTGATTCCGGGGGGCAGGTGGTCTTGCATCTGGTGTGTGTTAGTTTTGTAGCGGGGTAATTGGATTGGATGGAGGGTATGATGGGCACGATGAGGATGGAGGGCCATTGGATGTGTGGTAGCAGAGGTGGTAGTATGAATGGTGTTGTGAAAATGGCGGAATTAACGGGCATAGAGGAGGAAGGTGGTACGGTACCTTGAGGAGCTCCTGGTGTTTATTGTGTGAGTTGAGCCGACCCGAATATAATGAGCGTAGATTCAGTGGCTTACCTTGCTTAAGCGCTTGCTGGCGAACATGGTGGGCAGCGTGCCTGTTCGAGGCCGGAGTGAGGACTAGCCGAGCGTAGATCGTTGTAGGGAAGATCTGGGGGAGACGGCCGGCCAGTCTCGTCGGGAGAAATTGTAGGATCGTGGAGGCGCACAGATGTATGACGTCTGCAACTAGCGCGGGGTGATCCACAACAGACGGATACCACCTTCGAGGGGAGAGTCTTCGGGAAGGTCGGAGGGAAAGGGCGGGAATAGAGGAAGCAGGCAATGGTCGTGGACCGAGAACGAGCGGAGCAAAGAAAGAGGGAGGGGGTGTTGGAGGGGGAGATCGGAGGAGGTTAAAGAGGCAGTGAAGTACCTCGCGGCGATCATCTGCTGGCGGTGGCTGACGCTCCGGCCCCCCGTCACCTGATTGGCTCGGGCCGATCACGCTGGGGGCCGCCCACGTGATGCCCAGGCATCTGATTCGGTCATCTACGGGGATGGATGATCATGCAGGATGCAGCAAGTTAATTCAGATCACAGCCAAAGGGATATTATCTCCGTAGATTAAAGGCTCCAGAAAAGTCCACACCTCAGTCAGAAACCAAGCAAGAGGATATGGACGGGGAATCATCGAAAGTTATTCACAGATCAACAGTTCACATGGTCCTAGACCCAACAAGAATCACCGGTGCACACAAATCAAACTCTATCAACGCCGTCCGGCCAAATTTCATGAATGTGTCCGCTCACGAGCTTCACGCTCGATCTTCTCCCGCTCCTCATTCTCCTTGACCTCACGGACCTTGGCCAGGACAACCTCCCGGAAGATCGCCCCGCGGGCGATCTTGCTCAGGCTGCGCTTCTTCTTGCCCGCGGCCTCACCTTCGGCTGGCGCAGGAGCCGACTTGCCATTGGGCGATAGTTCTGGGAAAGGCGTCGAGCCAGCAGCATCCTCCGCCATCTCCACTGGGCTAGGAATGTCCTCATCGTCCTCCTGCATCTTGAGCGCCTCAATGCGGTTGGCCAGTTTGATGATTTCGATTCCGCGGCGAAGACGAGAGCGGGCAATGTAGGCGCGGATCTCGGGCAGCAAGTCGCGGTCGCTGGCCGACTCACCCGTCAACCAGATGTGCTTCAGGGCCTCCTCGGACGTGACACGCTTGGCAGGGTCCGGCTGCAGCAGCGTGAGGATGAAGTCCTTGGCATCCTTCGAGACATCGCGCCAGTAGCGCTCGTGGAAGATGATCTTTCCAGTCCGGCACTCTTCAATCAGATCGGTCAGGTTTTCGGACCGGAACGGCGAGTATCCGCAAAGAAGGGTATAGGTGATGACACCGAGAGACCACATGTCGACGGCCTTGCCGTGACCTTGCTTGAGCATCACCTCGGGCGCAGCGTAGCCGAACGAGCCCGCCATACTGGTCAGAACCTCGCTGGGGTTGTCCAGCATCTTGGCGATACCAAAGTCGGCAAGAACTAAGGGGGAATCAGGCGCGGGAGTAAGGTAGAGGAGGTTCTCGGGTTTCAAGTCTAGTCAGGCTGGATGTCAGTGTCAATCCCGGCGGAAAGCTCGAAAGGATGGCATACCCCGATGAACAATGTTCCGTTCGTGCAGGTAGTGGACAGCGCCAAGCACCTGGCGGATGGTCTGAGAGGCATCCTTCTCTGTGAACTTGCCGTACTCGCAAATGCGGTCGAACAGCTCACCACCAGTGGCCAGCTGCGTGACAATGTAGAATTTATCCTGTCACCGGTTAGACAAGAAGACTCCGAGGGGCCAGACGAACCCACCTTCGATTCAAACCAATCGACGAAGTGGACAATGTTGGGATGGTCGAGAGCCTGCAGCATCTCTAGTTCATCGTAGACCATCTGCTCATTGCCCCGGACATTCTTCTTCAGGATAATCTTGATGGCGACCTTTCCTTTGCTGCTGTCGGCTTCGCGAACAATACCGTACGTGCCCGCTCCGAGCGTTCTTCCAAATTTATAGTGAGACCTATGGTGCAACGGTTATTATATGTCTAGGGACGAAAGAAGAAAGCGACCAAGGTTCCGCCGTACTTTTTCTCGTAACTCTCCGGCTGTCCTGACAGCTTGTTGAGCATAGTATGGACTGTATGAAACCATCGGTCAGCACTACATTATCAAACGGAGGGTATTAGGCAAGTGGAATAAGAGGCCGTGGTGATCGGGAGATCGAACCGAAAAGACAGACAAGGACAAGGATGCCTCCGGCATGGATACAATGGTTCCAGGAGATCATGGCAAAGAATGGCATCGACATGGCTCTTGGTGACACAAAGCTGCCAGTCCGGACACAGTAGCAGAGGCGGCCGTCAATGACAAGCTACGAGAACAGGAACGTAGGCCATGTTGGGTGGCATGGGCATGGGTGGAATTGAGACGGGAAAAGGAAGAAAAAGCCAAAAACCTACAACTCATGGTGTCTGGGGAAAGGGCCTTAGTGAGGCCCTAGGGGATAATCGGGAGGTAGTGTGCGGTGGGCTCTAAGCCGGCGAGCGCGAAGCTGATGGGAACCCCGCACGTGAGGGCGATAGCGGGGCGGGTTAAGCAAGGTCGCGAAGGTCGCGTCGGAGGGTTGAACGAAGGTAGGATCTGAAGAGAAGAAAGGGTCAGGATATGGTTTTAACTTCCGTACACGAGCAGAAGCGGCGTCGTCGGCCGTCCGTGTGGAGGAGGCGGATGGTGGGTAACCGATAGGGGTAAAAATAGGTGGGAGGTAAACACCAGCAGTCGGCTGAAGCGTACCTGGTCGGGGCTTATCTCCTGCAGCACGGGCGAAGCGAGGCAATGCAATGCAGTGTCGGTCGGAAGGAGACTGACAGAGAGATAGATGTCTAAAAGACAGCTGGTCGAGTCTCGAGTCTCTGTCTCAGGAGGAGAGGGAATTGCGAACCGAGCGATTAAAAGTGGAAAGGAGGGGAGGGCGCGAGAAAAGGTGCAGTCTGGCCCGCGATAGAGTTCAGCCCATGGCTGCCCGGCACAGCCACGGGGTTGCGCTGAGGGGCGGGCGGGGCGTGTTGGCTATAGCGACACGCAAGGCTGATGCTGGATGGGCTGCATCTCCCCATGGGTCCCATGGATGAGGCCTTGGTGGCCGCGCATCAGACAGGTGAATGGCATTCACCCGAGCAGCTGACCAGGCAGGTTGTTCCAGAGAATGACCGGCCCTTTATTCATTGCGGTCTCTAGAACTAATTGAAATATAGGCTAGAGAGAATATCCGTCTCCCATTTTGAGATGTCACTGAGACCATGAGTGGCAGAGGTTCCCACTTTCATTTGGTGATGGCGGTTAGTGTGAAACCGTCCCGAAATCTGCGGCGGAACCAATGCTGGCGCCTGGCGGCCTGGCCAGGCACCACTTGAAACCGTCCCGACGAGTCCCTGAGCTAATCGACTCCTAATCCTCCTCCCCGTCGGCAATCGGCTTTGACACCAGCCACTTGAAGACTGAAAATAGACAAATTAACCCAAGACTGATATCTCGTCTCTTTCAACCACGGGGAATACCGACTCCAGTCATCCCAAAAATGAGACCGCCGGAAAAGGGGCTATGTCAGTCGGCCTGATTTCCGCCCCTGACGGAGATGCAAGCTAAAATCTCATCGGATGCTTGACCATATCAACCCCTGCTTATTGGATCGCGACGGATTGACAGCCTCTGTCAGCCAGCCTGGTCGGGGATCCCACCGTCTAGCTTGTCGGCTGTTTCCTGTTCTCCACTGCGGCTGATGCAGGTTATAGCCTCGTGGCAGATATAGACTACCTCAGTTTGTGCCTTTCTTACTTCTACTATATTCTCCTGGCGTCAGATAGGCGCTTACAGTCCATCCATAGCTTTACTTTCAGACTGTATCTTTGCTCATAATGAAAGAGCTGACCTCTGCATTCCTATATCTTGCCTACACTGCATGAAACTCCCATTCGAGATCGCACTATGTACCGTGTCAATTGAGTTTATGCAGCATGGACAGTGTGCCATGATCTGCGGACAAGGCTGACATGACCCTTCGTCGGAGTAGTGCCCGAGGTTCGGACGTGGTCCATTCCCAGCCCCAGCCCCGATATATACACTGGAGCCCACAGCGTAGCGGTGACTCTGGCTGGTGACATGGCTTTAGGGAGCTCAAGATGAACATAATAGAAGCGTATGACTTCAATATACAAATGAAAAGTCAGACACATGAATATCACGACCATAGCCATTACATACTCCTTATCGTTACCATCAATATCATGACCAACCATACTCATATCCATATCCATCGTAACCACCAACACCACTCCAACCTCAACCTAACTAAATCCTAACCTTTCATACTCCAACAAACTCCATACATAACCCCTCAATCCCAACTCCATCCCAACTTGAACCCGTAAACACTACCCCCAAATCTCATCCTAAGAAGACCGACCCAAATACAACTCCTCCAACACCCCCTCACAAAACCCCCGATAATATTCCTCCCCCTTCCAACCCAACCGTGGGGACCGAATCCCAACGGTCCTCCATCCCTCCCCCCTCAATCTCTCAATTCTCTGCGCTTTAGTCTCGTTCAATAACGTTGTTGATGGTAATGGTGATGTTTGTTCTGAGCCCCCAGATTCACCAATACTGATTGCTGTCCCGCCATCCTTATCCTTTCTAGATGGAGATTTTATCGGACTGAAACTCCAGAAGGATCCCGAGCGACGCATTCCTCGGGACATGTGTCGTGCGTGCTGGAGGGCGGTTATGTAGGTGATGTGGGTTTGGAGCGTGGTGATGCTGGTGGTTATTTGGGTGGAGAGGGAGTGTAGGGTGTTGGTTTTCTTTTGATGGTTGGTGGCGGATTGGCTCTGGGTGTGGCTTTGGCGTATCACTTCAGAATAGTGAGGAGACCCAGAATGAGGCTGAGGATGGGTATGAAGAGTAGTGGGAATAACCCTCACCGGCAACGGCAAGGACAATGTCTGCACAGAGCCACCCACAGGTGCAACTTTCTTATGTTGAGGGAACGGCTGCTGGACATGGACATGGCCGTGATCGAAATCGTAGTTCACCCCCGACTTCTGAAGAATATCTGCCTCGAAGGATTCACCCGATGCTTTGCGGACGTTGAGTGGCGAGGGAATCAAGCTCTCTTCGATAGCTTCGTAGATTTTGTTCGAGTTCGTGGTTGTGGTGGTGAAGCTGTTGCTGAGAGTTTCGTTGTCGGTGTCGGTATCACAGAGGCTAGGACTGGGACTAAGGCTGGCCTGGAAGGTATCACTCTGAGAGTTTGAGGCTATGTCTGAGCCTTGAATACGTGCCCATTCACCCTCAGCATTATCGTCCCGGTCAGTGTCTTCGTCATCGATAAACGGATCATCCTCGAACGGATCTCGTCCATGTAAATCGATACTCCCGATCATCTGAGCGATACTTCTCTCCAAGGTGTCATTCTCGTTTTCATCCCCAGTCTCATACTCACTGGCTGTGCCCTCGTCACTGTATCTGCACCCTTCCTCAAACATAGCTCCTTTTCCTTCTCCTACTTGTACCGGGGACAAAGCATCATCCGCATCAGCAACCCACCCCCCACAAGCCACAAACCACTCCACGGCAGCCTGCAACAGCGGTAATTTATTCTTCGAGTAATTGTGCGCTGCGAGGCCCATGCCTTCGTACGAGATGGCCGTGTAGAAGGTGAGGTAGGTTTTGTGGATCTTTTCCATAGTTAGTATATGTGGCTGCACATTTACAGAGAGGCCCGGAGATTGGAGGGAAGATATACTGGCTCTTGGGTGAGAGGTAGCAAGTCCTCCGCTCGAGCAATGCATTGGCGGTAGTGGTGGGAGATGCAGAGGTGTTTGATGGTGTGGAGGGTGAGGGGCCAGTTCTGTATCTTGGCTGGAGTTGAGGTTGAGGTCGAGAGCGAGGGTGATTTTGTAGTTGCGGTTGAAGTCGGGGGTGGGGTGAAGGTGGGATTGGAAGTAGAATTGCGGGTGGAGTTGATGAGGGACATCTTGTCCCTGAGGTTCAATGATAGGGTTTGGGTTGTAGAATGAGGCGAGTAAATTGTAGAGGGACATGACCGTGATTGGAAGGTCGAGGAGGCTTGGTATAGAAGAGCTGGAGGGGAGGACCCACGACGCGTGTCACGTCTTGACGTGATTCATGTGGAGACGGGAGACACGTTCATCTAGGGGTTATTATATCAATTTTATTCTGTATGAGTTGGATATCGTGATGGTGGACAAAGGAGTAGATTTTATGTGGATGTCCGCGCCAGGTCGTGAATGAATTCTTGTATAGGCCTGTTGTCGAGGAAAGATCGGTGAGAAGGCGGGACATCTAGCTGTACGTACGATGGCATGCAGGACCTACGTGGGCACACGATCAGCTAGCATTTTCCATTTTCACAATATTAAATCCACGTCTGATGGTGCCGCCTTAAGACACTTCATCTCCACACACACCTCGAGATATGCATTGGACAGACTTCAATGCCGGCTAGAAACAGTTTTTCGCAATCATAAGTCATGAGACAACACCAGCAGTTGTTTGTTATTTTCTATAAAACGCCATTTCTATCAAACCCCCTCGAATCTCGCCACTATTCAGCATCCGGCTTGGTCTCAGTCTTCGGCTCTCCAAAACTCACTCGCGACAAGGCCTGGCCAGTAGCATTCAACGAGTCAATAAAGTTCTCCAGCAAGCGGTCCAGCTCGCCCGCGATGGCGTGGTCTCCTGCGCCAGCCATGAAAATGTCGAGCTGAGGCAGGGTCAAGTCCGGGAACAAGATCGGCTCGCCGTCGTCAGTCGCCAGAGCAGGAAAGGTGGTCCGAGCTGTAGGCAGCGAATCCGACACGGAGGAATTGGCCGACGGAACGAAAGGGAGACTCAGGTCCAGACCCTTGGTCGGGATCGCCGTCGGGAATGGTTCAGACAGGGAAGGGTCGTCATCCTCGGAGGGCTTCCACTCCGGTTCTTCTTCCTCGTCCGGCCCCGGTCCGTCCATGATGTGAGCGTGTCCGTAGTTCTCGTACTGAAGCGACTGCATCAATCGGGGATATCCTTGCAGATTTGGGCCCGGGGTCGAATTGGCTGGCGGAGTCGAAGGACGGTCGAAGCGGAAGGGATCGTAGTCTGTCTCCGAACTCACCGACGCGTTGGACTCGCCGGATCGCGACGTCGACGGGCGGGAGTCCCCGGGCTCGCCAATGCTAGAGCGTCGCACAGTGGTTGACGGCTGGAGGTCCACGATAGGCGCCTTCAGAGTGTCGTATCGACCTGCGTCTGGGAGACTATCGTTCGCAGACTCATCGGCTGGGGCGGTCATCACTGGAAAGGTCCACTCCATGGTGGCACGCTTGTCCGATGTGTCTGGCTCCGCGGGCTTCGTCTCCGGCTCGGCAACCGGCTCCGCGACGGGCTCGCTGGCTGGCTCGCCGGCTGGCTCTGCCTCCTCCTCCGGCGGCTGCATAAAGACCGGGAACTTCCAGTCCATCGTGGGCGGCCGGGGCCCAGATGCTGGCTGGTAAGCCATGTCCACCGAATCTCGGCTGCTGCTCACCCCGCTGCTGGACGAGCGGGAACGACTTTCCGCCGAATTACGGTGCTGACGCCCACTGGTCCGGTTCGCCCGGATGGTATCGGCATCGGCCAGCTGGAATGGCTGGGCCGATGTTGCCCCGGCGGCATAATGGGCCGAGTCGAAGGATCCAATGTCGATGTCAATGAAGGTCGACGTAACCGAGGATCGATCGGTCTCGGTGCGAAGTGGGAGGTCAGACGCCGGGGGCTTTGGCTCGATGGGTACGAAATCATTCTTGGTTTCGTACTTGTAGCTTGGCATGTCCTCATTGAACAAGCCTTCCATCGCCGCAGCACCCCGGCGGACACGCTCATCAAAGTTCGCTTGGTCCTCGACCGTCATCACCTGATCAGAGGACTCTTCCGGGAGGTCATTTTCCGAGCTCGGCGTGGTGGTGGGACTGATTTGGTCCTCTATCTCCGCCAGAGAGGCAGCCAGCTGGTCAAGATCGATAACAGAAAACCGACGCTCAAAGCCATCAGTTGTACTGAAATTCCAATCTTCTTCGTAGTCGCTATCTTCGGGAAGCTCTGCGGCAGCAGCACCTCCGGGATGGAACAAAGAGATACGCTGACCACCTCGCTGGGACCATTGATAATAGATGCGGACCAGCTCGCTGAGGGACGAAGTAGGATAGGCTTCCGCGGTATCGGCAATGTAGGGGTGCGTCAGGATGTCTGCCATCGCGGGCCGGGTGACGGGGTTGGACTCCAACGCAAAGGAGACGATACTCTTCAGGCCATCGCTATATTTGGAATTGTCCAACTTGGGAGTGTTGCGGGTCAACTGCCTGCCGATCTGCATACGCTCACGGAGATTTGAATTGGGGGGGTTGCCCGTGGCGAATTCGAACAGTGTGCATCCGTAAGCCCAGACGTCAATCTATCGCAGTTAGCATCGGAGCAATGCTTTTAGAACAATAACTTACCTCGCTACCATACTTGTGGGCCTCGCCACGAGTCGAAAACATCTCGGGCGGCATCCAATGTGGCGTTCCAATCCAGGTAGATCGTTTATCCATCTGGGACTGAAGGACTCCGGCGACACCGAAATCACAGATCTGTAGTCTTCCCTCCTCGTGGATCAGAATGTTGGCAGCTAGACCAGTCAGTACAGTCCAAGCGTTGTGAACGGGTACATACCCTTGATATCTCGGTGAATGATGCCCGCATCATGGATAGCACGCAAGCCAGCAGCAAGCTCTCGGGCAACGGGGATGATGAATTTTTCCTCAAGTCGATCACCGGTTGCTCGCATCTGGTAGGTAGGTGTTAGAAAGAATGCTGCAAAACTCCAGTGACAAACATACCAAAGTTCTAACACTACCCCCAGGGCAGTACTCAGAAACCAACCACAGCTGCGAGTGGATAGAACGGGCCTCGATCAACTCGTTGATGTTCTTGGCACCCGCATCCTTGACCTGTTTCATCACCTTGGTCTCATGGATAAAGTCCTTGATTGATTCATCCCTGAAATCCCGGACGGACTTGTAGTCCATGGAATCGATATCCATGACCTTGATGGCAACGATCTTGCGGGAGGGGAGCTGATGGCCTTTGTACACGCGTCCGTACGAGCCCTTACCAATCAACTCCTCAAACTCATAAGGCGGCGTTTCGGTTTTGGCTCTACGACACATCTCTTGGACGGCAGCCCCTTGCTCACGAGCCAGCTTGATGGCTTCTGCCTTGTGTTTGGTGATGGCAGCCAAGGCGGGGTCCAGGAACTGCGAGGCACGCGAGGGATCCATGATGGGCGGGGGTTGCTGAGTGCGTATGGTGTTGTGTAAGTCAAGCGAAGATTGAGGGACTTGCTGGGGAAGAGAAGATGGGCAGGGGCGAGTGAATTGCCAAGCAAGAGCGTTTGGAAAAGGGGGAGTTGGTTGGGGACCCGTGGACTCACGAACAGAAAAGGGAAAGAATCTTGGGATGGGTGAATCACAAGTGACTGCAGGGTCACTGACGTTTTCGCTGGGGACCAAACACGGGGTGGGAGTCAACGGCGCAGGAAAGACAGGCGAGGGATTCCGCCTAACCTCCTGAGATCCACTCACGACACTAACACCCTGGTGGTGGGACGTCTCTGGGCGATTCGCTTTTGAATTGGGGAAATGAGTTGAAAGAGGAGCAATGGAAAGGGGAGGGACGTGTTCAAGATAGGGATCGGCAAGACACACTCGGTCCGACTTGTCCTCTTCTTCTCGCCAGCTTCCGTGTCGAAAGAGATTCTGAAGCGCCGCAAGTGCCGAGTCGGAACTCTTGCTACGCGGGGAGCGTCGACGGGGCGGGCGGCCAAAAGGATATGTCTGTGACTGAAGGCCTTCAACGTCGCCGTCGCTAAATTCCGACCCACGTGCTTCGGCTTGAGGTTCGTCGGGTGCAGACGACTTGCCCGATTTTCCGGAAGAGCTCTTCTTGTGGCGTTTTTTCTCGGCCTTCTTACCACTCAGGGACCGTCGTTCACGCTTGCTCCAGGAGCGCTTGTCAGGCTCGTCACTCCGGCTGTGCCTGTGGATGAGAAGACCGAAGTACCGACGACTGTTCCCGTCCGGAGTGGTTGGCTGCGAAGCGGGGAGAGGACACTGGATCGCTAAGGACAGGTCAATGTCGAACTTGTCTTTTAAATGGCGCCTGATTTCCTCTTCGCGATTGGAGGTTTTGCGTCTCCTAATGCCAGAGCTAGCCCGGCTTCAGTAAGCTTAGGGTTCAAATTTCTCACAGGCTCGAGACACACCCTAGAAGCGAGTCTCTGAAGATGCTATCGCTATATTCACTGACTAGACACTAATTAGTCTTGCATTCAGATCTCATTTGCAAAGACTTACGGTCGTCCTGATCTCCGTCGCTGGAGTCCTGCTCAGTGTCACCGCTGATAGCCCCTTCTACGCGGTCAGCGTTCCCTTGCTGATCCTCCTGATATCTCTGGGCACTGCATCAAAGTCAGCATCTATTGTCAACGGACCCGGATGATTCGAACTCGTTGAGTGCTTCCCAACGCTCCTCGGAGCCTAAGCCAGCCATCGTTGATGATCACTCAAAGGAGCCACAAGAAGATGTGCGAGAAGAATCGGACGGGTGATGGGAGTGTCAAGACTGTGTTGGAGGAATGTGGAAAAGGAATCGAGACTGACGAGGAAGGAAAAGAGAAGAGGGGCAAGGCAAGCAACACAGAACTCAGTCACTTACATATCAGCTGGATTCGCTTATAGCACAGAGCGCGTGCCCAAAAGGGAAGATTCGAAGCTTCAGCCGTTCCTCCTATCTCTACTCCACGAGTAGTATACAACAGGCTCACTACGAGCTGACTTTACGAGATCCGTACAATCGACCTGCGTGCTACCCATGATCAGCATATATCATCCAATTTCTCATAGCTTTGCCCTCAAGATCACGAACAGGCATTGAGAACATTCGTCAACTCACCTCGAACGTTGGGTTGATGGTATGCGCCAAAGTTCGATGCTGTGAATACAAGGCGGTGAGAGACGCTAAGAAAGTGCGCTAAATTAGCGCAAACCAGAAACCAGTTCTAGGAGGCGCCAGATGGGTGTTCTTGGGTGAATCGATATTCAAGATATATGGTGAGAGCACAAAGGCCAGGGCTATATTCTAGCCAACAGCTGTCCTATACAGCAGTCTAGAGTGATAGTGCCAGAAGCACACTATACACACTCTTGGATTCACGGGATTCTGGCTATGAACTGTGAAGCCAAACACTCATATCAAACAGACAAATCTTCGTGATATACCGATCTAGACACAAGTTAGCACTGCACAAGCCATATATCCTATCACACAACACATTATTCATCAACAGTGCGATCATCACCAGCACCTTAAATCCCAAACGAAAATGAACCCCATCACCAACTGACTCTTGGGCATACTGGACCCTATCCACTTTGTACCCATCACGTGACAATATTCACCAAACCACGCAACCCAGCAGATAGTCAAACAACACTAAACCACCAGATACCAAACCCAACACCTTCTTCCCTCCTCTCAATAACAAGATCCAACTTACCTATAGCAATCCCTATCAATATGCCCAACCAAACCAGCTGGTTGACCGAAAGAACAAGGGCGAAACCGGAGCCCAAATGCAGAAGAAAGGGGGTGTGGCGGAAAAAGAATAACGGAAGAGCAGGAAAATCTAGGGGGGTATCAAGGCAGAGGTCAAATAACAGAAACCATGTTCGCCGTCCTTATTATATCAACATTCTATAACTGACTAACAATGGAGAATGGGTCAGGCGTTTGAGCAAACGTTCGATTAGAGTTCCAGATTAATCAATCGGATCGGATAGTGTCACGGTGGATCAGCCGCGGAATATTGTTTTCACGAGCTTCCGATGGGCTCAACGATTTGCACGATGGCTGCATTCCAATGCACAAGAAGATATCAGACAGGCATTCGGAGGAGCTACTTTTAAAGCATCGTGGTGCAAAGTGTTCTAAGGCGCGTAAATGTTCAAAATTCTTTATGTATTGCCATGCTAGACTAAATGCAATATCTACTTTCGCTCATATTTACACTGATGCAAATGCATTGACGGCCAACTTACAGACCGAACTGGGCCTTCAGAGCATCGCCGAACCGCCGGATGGCTTCAGTAATGCCTTCCGAGCTGGCGGAGGCAAAAGTAGCGCGGAAGAACATCTTCTCTTCGTGGACACCATCAGCCTTGAACCAGCTGCCTCGCGAAACGAGGACGCCATTGTCGACGGCAGCAAGGAAGACCTCCTCTTCAATGGATTCACGAGTCTTGCCGGAGGCAAGGCCAGGATGCTTCTTCCAATCGACCTCAATCCAGTGCTAAAGTGTGTCAGCCGATCATCAAATCAATAGCCCATAGGGATCATATACTTACAAACATGCCTGCTGCCGGGGGGATCCACTGCGCAATCTCCTGAGGAAGATACTTTTCACACGCATGCATCATTGAATCTCTGCGGCCGGTGTACTGCATACGCAGGTTGATCAGCCAGTCAAGGTATCCGGAATGACCCCAGTGCTCGTCAAGGAGCTTGTAGAACACGAGCTGCGAAATACCAGCCGGGTTCTGGGCGGAGGCCTCGCAGTTCCGAATGAACCGTTCCACCACCTGCTCGGAAGCAACAATCCAGCCAGTTCGTGATCCAGGAGACAGAACCTTTGAGAATGACTCCACGCGAAGCACACGCCCGTCAACGTCCAGGCTCAGGTAAGACGGCACGAGTGACTTGATGAACTCGTCGTGAGAGGCCGGTGGCGGGACAGGCTCGCTATCAGCACCCGCATAGGGCTGCATCTGCAAGAAGTAGTACGGCTCATCCTCCACGATGTACACGTCATGCTTCTGAGCGACCTTGTACACAGCCTTACGTCTCTCCACTGACTGCGTAGCACCGGTGGGGTTCTGACCGGTCGGGATAGTGTACAGCACATAAGGCTTACGGCCACCCCGGGTAGCCTCATCCCAGTTGCTCAGAACCTCATCGAGCGATTCAGGCAGCAAGCCCTCCTCGTCCATCTTGATGGCCGCCACCTTCAGTCCAAGCGGAAGCGCAGTCTCCTGAGCGCTCGAGAAGGTGTACTCTTCCATCATAATGTAGTCACCGCGGTTGCAGAGCATGCGGAGTATCGTATCCCACGCGAACGTGCTACCTGCGGTCAAGCAGCATTGCCAATCGGCATAGGGCGGATTGTGAATGAGCTGACAGTATTAGCCTACCACAACAGAGCAGTTCTTCATGCTTGAACCTACCTCGGTGTGTTCCGTCACAAACCTAAGCAACTGGGGGGTTCCCGTGGCCTGTCCATAATTGAGAGCGACCTCCAGGTCTGATCATTTCGTTACTTAATAAGATCCAGCCGATTGGCGAGGAAAGTGCAACTCACCAAAAAGACCCTTTCCATCACGAACGTCACCCTTATTCGCATGCAGAACGGTCCCCTCCGGGGCGAACTCGGGCGCATTCGGAACCTTGACGGAGAGTTGCTCAATAGGAAAGTATTCCGGGGAAGGGAGACCACCACCCAGCGAGATCAACCCGGGGGTTTTGAGGTACCGCGCAGCACCCTTCAAGGTGGAACTCTAACGAGGAGTTTAGTTTCCATGTTCACCTCCACCACAGTATATGAGCGGACAAACCTTCCGGGACTTCGACTCGATGGAAAAGATGTCTGGTGGGGAATCAGCGGCTGATGGGAACGGAGATGACCGGGCGACTTACGGTCCCAGCGTTTCGACTGAGGCTTGGTGTAGCAGTACTAGACAAAGCATTGCAGGTTAGTCCTTTGCCACAATGGGATTCTAGCTTCTTTGACAGACGGCGATGACATACAGGGCTCTTGAACATATCACTGCTCGTGCCAGGAGCGACCCCAGTAGGGATCGGTGCCCCCTTGGCTCTCAGGGCAGGGATGGCATCGACCGTCAATGGGCCGGAAGCGGCAACCGAGCCCACGTTGCTCGAGTCATTCTCCACAGCGGAGGGAGGGCTCATTCTCGGATCAGGGGTCTGATGGAACACAGAGGCGGATTGTGGAGGACAAGGTAGTATTCGGGATGCACACAATCGGCGCACAGGCAATCGAGCGATGATATAGAGGACGGGGGACAGCTGATGGCGAAATTGAAGGGGAGAATCGAGTCACACACGGCCGTCCGCTTTTTTGTCCGCTTAAATGGGCGGACCGGTTCCGCCGAGGAACCATTGGATTCAACGTCGGCCGCCATGCATCCACGCAAGCGAAGCACCCCAGAGCTGATTGGAAAATCCTGAACAATCAGATCCATCTGAGGAGCTTCACCGCGTTTTCGTTATCTAATTGCCCGTGAGATACCGCGCGCGATGTGACGCTGTCAGTCACAGGGCGCGGCGGACTGCGATAACGTGATTGGTAATTGCAATACATGGCATGTATTGTCGGGGCCCTGCTCCGCACCACCAAGGGAGCTGCATTCGACGACAGCATCATTGGTTGGCCTCCGGAGAGTGGTGCACGGAGTAGCAGGGGGTTTCCAGGATGCCATCCAATGGGCAAAAGATCGTCATTGCCTGCAGAGCCAAGGGTACTTGACTAGAATGCGAGACGCCTTGAGGGAAGCAAGGACCAGGACGGTTCGGTCAATACAGCCGGGTGACAACCCCGCGCCTAGATAAGGATATCGCCGGGATCGGAGCGGCTTATCGAGATAAGAGTCGCCAGATCACTACGGTGTACGAACGGCCAATGTAGGTGGAGGAGCGACGCGTCAACTCCAGTTACCATGACAGAGGGATTCTTTAGAATGGGAGGACATGCCTGTCCGGCTCCAAGGAACCCACGTGGCAATATCGAGATACGGGCTAAGCGGGTGTCTATATATAGGACATCGGCTACTAAGCACTTAGACAGGAAAGAAGATGAAGACATTGCTGTGAAGATGATACACCTAGAATACTGGACCTTGATTACACCGGCTGTACTCCGTACAAGAGCGTATGAATTGTCCATAGTCACTGCAGGCAGGAGCACATGCTCAATAGGGAAGGCACGTCCTGCTCCAGCTGACTAAGGCCCGGCCCTCTCCTCTTTTACGCTCTCACTAAGTTGGAATGCCTTCTAGCATCACGCCATTCGGTTCTTGATCCCAACCCAGTGTACCCATGATCTATCACTTCATCTCCTCACCAAAATGAAGTATTGCAAACGTTAGGGATCTAGAAGGCCGGAAGCCACCTGGAACTATCCTCGCCGACGTGGGTGGCATTCCCCCCACCCCTCTACCAGAGGCTCCTAAGCCGGACTTCAGAATACTAGCCAGCTTGAATTGGAAGGAGAGCATGCGCAGACAATGCTACATCTCACTCGATGTGACGTGCTCTGAAATCATTCTAGTGATCTCCGCATGTTCAGCTCGATCTGCTTCGGGGAGAACGTCCAAGTGGACAGAGTGCTAGCCATCGTCCCAGGCCAGAATGAACCACTTCTCTCACACTGAGATCATGCCCAACTACTCTGCTCTATACACCTCTTCTGGGGTTGTCACAAAATGGGGTTATCACAAGCCAATGCCTTCCCCCGAGACTATCCGAGGGAGACCGCAGCTGCTGTACCCCAAGTCTAGATCAACAGTATATCCTCGATGGACCTCAGATGAACCAACTAGGATCCAGAGAATCCCCTCATGACATTTATCGTACATAACACCAAACTCCCCATGATGAAGACAGTGTCACCCCACTCCCTAATGTATAGGCAGATGAGACCCTGGAACATGTACCCGAAAGTCAAACTCGGGATCTGGAATCTGTACCCCTCAGATTTAACCAAACTCTGCGAGGGGAATGCACCACATAAGGATTTGTGTCATGAAACATCATGGGGCTTTTACCATGGCTTGATGCTGCCACGAATCTATATAATCCCCTTCCTGCACCCAGACTGGGGCTCATCTCAAGCAACGAGCTTTCACTTTCTCCTTAACTCTTCTTTGCAGAATCAATTGCATCAACCGGTTCAATCAAATCAATCAATATGCGTGGAAAGGTCGCCATCGAGGAAGCCTTCGAGCTGAAAGACGCCACCGGCGAGATCGAGGCCCAGGCAGCCCTTTACATTGCCCCAAATGATGTCGAACGTTACAAGCGACAGATCGTGTCGATCACGGACGAGCGCTTGGAGCTATCCGACAAAAATGGCATTGGATACACCATCCTCTCCTTGACCGTCCCAGGTATCCAGGGCATCACAGACCAGAAAGAGGCCGAGCAGAAGGCCGAGAAGGTGAACAATTACATCCATGACCAGATCAAGGGACACCGCGACAGACTGGGAGCATTTGCGGCGCTGTCGATGCATGACCCCCGCCAAGCAGGACAAGAGCTCCGCCGCTGCGTGAAGGAGTTGGGTTTTCACGGGGCCCTGCTGAACGATGTTCAACATACCGGAAAGGGGGACGACGATGAGCCTCTCTTCTACGATCAGCCCGACTATGACGAGTTCTGGAGGGTGGCTGTGGAACTGGACGTGCCGGTCTATCTGCATCCTGCTGCACCTTTGCGGGATACCGTGAACTATCGACAGCTCTACGAGGACCGGAAGTATCTCGTTGGCCCACCACAGAGCTACTGCAACGGGGTCGCGCTACACCTGATGGGCCTGATCAGCAACGGAGTGTTTGATCGGTTCCCTAATTTGAAGGTCATTGTTGGACACATGGGCGAGCGGATCCCGTTTGATTTCTGGCGCATGAATCACTGGATCAAGAATGTGGAGCAGCCTCTGGCCCAGAAGAACGGCGATACCATTTGCGAGAGGGAGCCACTCGAATACTTCAGGCGCAACATCTACATCACTACCAGTGGGCATTTCTGCACTCTGAACTTGCGGTACCTGTACGAATACCTAGGCGATGAGCGGCTGATCTTCAGCGTTGACTTCCCCTACGAACGGATGGAGCACGGCTGCAGCTGGTATGATGACGATGCGGAGAACATCAAGAAGGCGCTGGGAGGACGAGACGGATACCTCCGCGTTGGCCGGGACAACGCCAGAAGGTTGTTTAAGCTGAGCAAGTTCAAGGACTGCGATGCGCCTGTTGCTTGAACACGACCAGCAGCACATGTAGCTTGAAGGGATTTGACGGCTTGGGCATTTGTTTGGATTTACTCTGCGTTTGTCTGACTGTGGAGATGAGTTGAAAAGCAATCTGGTTTGCATGCGTTTGGTCTTGTTGAGTCCTAATTTGATGGCTCGCTGTGCTTAATTAATCATTACAAACAGGTCAATTGAGTGTTCGTTCTGGCTGGTGCTGACCGTAAGAGCTACATATCTTTGTATCTGTATTTGTCGTACTCGAATACCTGCTCCTACAAGCTGTGTCATGCGGTAACAAGCTGTAAATACGCCAAACGAAGGGTGTTTACGGCCACCAGACGTACCGGAGGCCCCACGAACATACATACTTAGTACATACATTCATCCCGATGCTTAAATTATTTTACCTTACGTACTTGTATTACTGTTCCTTGGCGAAAGGGATCGTGAGTTCTAATTGAAAAATGAAATTGGTTAATTGAACGTGTAGATGGGTAGATAGGTAGATAGATGGCTAGTCAGATACATCAACTAAGTCAAGTTTGATATATGGAGATCATAGGCGCAGTGTTGATAATGGGGAGGATCACAGGCGCGATTGCGCGACATACTTCCCCTGCGTACCGTCGAGTTGAGCTTCCAGGACGGCCGAGGTACCGTTCTGCACGCTTTTGACAGCCTCGGGGAGGAGTTTCTGGAGCTCGGCGACGGTGGCTGCCTGGGCGCCCCAGAATGTGCCGCCGGATGCGGCTTTTGCGATGCCCGGGTAGTCTGGGGTCGGGGCGAAGGAGATGTTGAGGTCTTCGTTGGTGGCGCGGGAGCCGTCGCCGTTGGGGTGGACGAGGAGCATGCTTCGGCGCGGGGCGTTCCAGCCCTTGTTGTTGAGGACGATGGTGAGGATGGGAATGTTGTAGCGGCGGGCGACCCAGTAGACGGAGCCCGGGACGGAAAAGAGGTATGTGCCGTCGCCGACAATTTGGCAGACGAATTTCCCTTTGTTGGGGCCGCCGTGTTGGACGTCGGTAGCGAGTTTGATGCCGAGGGCGCCGCCGCCGGACCAGCCTAGACCGCCGCCGCCGCAGTTGATCCAGGATTTGGGGGCGGTGGGGGCGAGTTGGTCGGCGACGATGCCGGTGAGGGTCACGGATTCGATGGCCCAGATGGTGTCTGAGGGGCAGGTTTGGCGGATTTGGCCGAGCAGGAAGGATGCGTTGAGGGGGGCGTTGGCTCCGCCCGGGGGTGGGAGAGCGAGGGTGCGGATGGCTTGGCGGGTCTTTTGGAATTCCGCTTCGCGACGCTGGCCGCGGGCGAGGTTTTCGCTCGAGTTGATAGTTTGTTGGATGGGAGCGTTGGAGGAGATGTATTCGTTGAGCTGCTTAAAGGCGGTTGCGGACTCGGCGCGGAAGGTCGCGATGGTGGGAATGTAGGAGACGGGGATTTGCTGCTTGAGCGGGTCGACATCGACGTGGATGATCCGGGCTGAATCGGAGGGCTTGCAGAGAGTCGGGATCCAGGGGACGTCGCAGTCGGCGACGAGGATGAAGTCGGCGGTTTTGATGGCGTCGTGGACGCCGAAGCGCATTCCCAGATAGGCTGGGTGGTCGCCAGGGAAGCACAAATCACAGCCGCCAGTGTCGAGGACCCGGATGCCTTTGAAGGTGTTGGCTAGGGTGACCAGCTCCTGGACTCCCCGAGCTTCTCGGCCGGAGTAGCCGACAATGACCAAAGGCTCTTTGGCGGCCGCGAGCTCCGATGCGATCAATTCGACGCCCTCGGATGGCAGGGCAGACGGGGCGACAGACACCCAGTTGCTCTGGTTCAGGGAGTAGGGAGTTATTTCCTCCTCCATGACCTCTCGAGCACCCACCAGATAGACCGGTCCCTGGGGATCACTGGTGGCGAATTGGAGGGCGCGGTTGACCATCTGCTTGATGTTCTTACCCGATCGGATTTCCGCGGTGTAGCGACAGTATTGTGAGACAATTTGCTTCTGGTCGGGCACATCCTGGATCCAATGGATGTACTCGGTGCGCGACCCGCGCATCTCCCCCTCAATGGTGTAGGGGGAGAGACCAGCGAAGATCAAGACGGGAGCACGGCCACAGGAGGCATTGTGGATGGCCGCCCCGAGGCCCTGGGTGCCGACATCGACGTGGACGATGACACACTGAGGCTGGCCGGTCAAGCGGGCGTAACCATCGGCCATGGATAGCGCCACCATCTGCCAAGGAGGGCAATGCGGGGTTAGTGTCCGTCTGGGCACCGAAGACAACCGGAGCAATCAGCTCACCTCGTTGGGGCAGGTCACGATCTTGGGGAACTCGTTGGGCTTTTCCTTCTGACCCTTGACCATGGCCTCCAGGATGGAGGGGTGGTCAGACCCTAGATTAACAAAGACATGGGTGACCCCGGCCTATAGGGTTAATTAGTTGGGAGCAGAAAGGATCACCCATTCACTCACCTCCCATAGTGCCTCGAAGAAGGCAAATGACGCGGTGTAAACCCTGGATTGGTGTCAGCCAAATAGGCATGGTGAATCGAACCGAGGTCGATTGGGGATGGAGAAACTCACATCGTCGCAGTTCAATTGGCAATGATGTATGAGAGAAATTAGATTGAAAGCAACGAGAATGCGGAGAAGATGGGGTCGTAGATTGCTAAGGGCGGAGTACTTAAAAGTGCCAAACATCGGGGTCAAGTCCGAGCCTGGGGAGGAGAATGCGCCAGGGGAGGGCTTTACACCGAGGTTAAGTAGACCCCCGATTGGTGATTGGGAGACTGTCAAAACCGCTCGGACACTGAGGTAAGCCGTTTGAGTTCGAACACGACGAACTATGTATGCGCAATGCAATACTCCGCAGCGCTATGGCCGGATATGGCAGTTGCTACGGCGATAGTCGGCATTTGCATGCAGACCGTCAATTGAGTCAATTCACTCGCAGTCGAGCAGTAGCGGAAATACGATGTCTGCTGTTGAGAGCATCTCATCCACTCAGCCCTATCCCACCAGGGAGGAGCTTATCACCAAAGCCAAGTTTGTGGTCGGTGGATCCGGTGGATTCAATCATTCGAGTGGCCACGTTCGAGGACGGGCCCGATGACGTCGTGCCCGCCAAACCCTCGCTTCCGTCAGTCATTTTCACGAATAAAAGACCATGTTTATCCACGTAGCCTGGCCGGCATCCATGCTGATGTCGTCGATGATTTTCCTTCGACGCGAATGGGAGACTGAAAGTCGAATGCTGCCCTCCGATACGTCATTGCTCGTAGTAGGCAGCCATCATGGCGGCGCCATTTCGGCCCTGGAGCCCCGTCAGCGAATCCACTTGGATGCCCCTTTTTAAACTGTCGGGCGCCGTCTGCTCCCTGTGCGTGGCCTCGATTGTGTTTTGGTTTATTCGTCAGCCCAAGAGTGCCAACCGAGTCCGCACCACCATGATCTCCGATAGCGTCTACGAGTTCTGTCACGACGACAAGACTGTCACCTCCGAGCTCCTGCGCGACCCGTCGCAATCAGGCCCGAAGGTGTTTGAGAAACTGTACCACGAACGCAAATCGAAAGCACATAGCCACGACTCGAAGGAGTCGATCGATGGTGCCGAGAATGAACTGAAGAAGGTGGTGGAGTGTGGAAATTGGGGCAACTCTGAACCTAGCGAACTGTTCCTGAAGGTTAGCCAAGCTTCATACCACCCAATCGGTGGTCCTTCTTGCACGGGAGAGTTCTGACCGACAGCCAAGATATACCACGATGCCCTGTGCGCGCTGGACAAGAACCCGATGGCTGGTGTGGTATCGCCTCCGTTGATGGGCAGTCATGGCGTGGTGCCGTTGACGATCATTGCGCCTCTGCCCGATCTGTGCCGGCACATGGCCAACTGCATCGTGCGGGCAGAGAAAGAGGTGTTTCTGGCCACCAATTTCTGGATTCACTCGGATGCCTCCACCCTGGTGACGAATGCTTTCCGCGAGCTGTCTCGCCGGGCAGGCGAGCGTGGCACCAAGGTAATTGTCAAGATGGTGTATGATCGTGGGGATCCGCAGCAGCTGTTCGAGAATCACCTGCCGGTGCCCGAGAAGAAGTACACTAGCGAGAAGGTGCAGCTGCCATCGTCCGAAGAAATCCCCAACATCGATCTGCAGGTGGTCAATTACCACCGGCCGATCTTTGGGACCTTTCATGCCAAGTTCATGGTGATCGATCGGCGGATCGGGCTGCTGCAGAGCAGCAACGTGCAGGACAACGACAACCTGGAGATGATGATCCAAGTGGAGGGGCCCATCGTCGACGGGCTTTACGACACCGCCTTGATCTCGTGGGGTCGCCCTCTCGAGCCTCCGCTGCCCATGCTCGCCTCCCCAGCCACCGGCGCCCCCATTCCTTGTCACTCCAACCAGCAGCCCGACTATGATGCCCCGGATCCGGGACCTCTCCCGGAACTCACCGTGGACGAGCACCACTATGACCCGGATATCCGACGTGAAGCCCAGCGGATGAACGGGCTGCTTCTGCCCCGAGACGGCGAAACCATGACCCAAGCCGTGACCCGTCGTCTCAGTATGCCATCCTCAATCCAGAACCACAGAAGATGACTGACTTGGCTAGATACCACTATTCAAACTGACATGACTGCTGACGCCCCGGAGAGCGACCAAGACCCTATCATGGAACCCTATGTTGTCCTCCCGCCACATGATCCTTTCCCAATGGCCGTCGTGAATCGCGAACCCTGGGGTGGTAAGTACATTCTCCATATCCCTCTTACTATCGCTAACAAGGTCAGCCCCCAATCACAGCAGCATCCACACCCCTCAGAACAGCTGCTTCCTGGCCGCCATCAAGAATGCTCAGGAATCGATCTTCATCCAGACCCCCAATATGAACGCCGAGCCCATCGTCGAGGCCCTCATCGAAGCCATCAAGACCCGCGACGTCATTGTCACATGCTACCTGTGTCTGGGCTACAACGACGCCGGCGAATTACTTCCGTTCCAGAATGGCACGAACGAGATGGTCGCCCATCGGATGTACAAGGCCTTGGATACCGATGAGCAGCGCTTCCGTCTTCGGATCTTTAATTATGTGGCCAAGGATCAGACAAAACCGATTCATAATAAATTCAAGCGGCGGAGTTGTCATGTCAAACTGATGATTATCGATGAGAAGGTTGCAATTCAAGGTATACCCGTCCCCTTTAACGCCAGAATCCTTAAAATGATGTCGATTAACGAATCAATGTACAGGAAACGGCAACCTGGACACACAATCCTTCTACCACAGCCAAGAAGTCAACCTCCTGCTCGACTCCCCTCTTGTCGCCCGTGCCTGGCGCCAGGCCATCGACCGGAACCAGAACACGGCATTTTATGGCGGTGTCAGCCCCGAAGACGGCTGCTGGCATGATCCCAATACCAATGATATCCCCGTGGGATCAATCGGAATGAACCCGGGCCACTTTAGTTGGGCCAGGGGAGCCGTTGGTGCGGTGCAGAGGGTAAGAGGGGCGGGTGGATTCTAGAATGCCATATCTCTTCTGCTTGCCTTGGTATTTTGATGCTGTTGTTACGTGTGGATAATCTACTGTTTTGGTATATATAGCGAATTCCAACACGTTAGACATGTACAACGTTCCTTCATTCAGATACATAAATAGAGCCGTACTATACCACTCATCCTACACTCCCCCTCCCCCTCCACCCTCCACCTATCCCAACCCCCCACAAATCCCCCCCCCTCAAATACAAAAATGCCACCCCAACCCTACGACCAACCCATCCGCGACATCACCAACTACATCCACCACCACCCCATCACAGACCCCGACGCCTACGCCGCCGCCCGCATCGCCCTCCTCGACGCCCTCGGCTGCGCCATCGAAACCGCCTCCAAGAGTCCCGCCGCGCGACAACTCCTCGGCCCTATCGTCCCGGGCACCATCGTCCCGAATGGATTTAAAGTCCCGGGCACGGCGTACCAGGTTGATCCCGTCAAGGGGGCGTTTGATTTAGGTGTGTTGGTTCGGTATCTCGATCATAATGATGCTCTGGGGGGGATGGAGTGGGGACATCCGTCTGGTAGGTTCCCTCTTCCTATCCTAACATACATATACCATCTATCCCATGATGAGAATGATAATGACGATGGTGGAATAGATAACATCCCCGCCCTCCTATCCATAACCTCCTACCTCAGTCTCACCCAACCCCCCCCATCCCAGGTCCCCCCCAACTCAACCCCCTCCCCCCCAAATCCAACACTCCACACCCTCCTCTCAACCCTCATAAAAACCTACGAAATCCAATCCCACTACCAACTGCACAACGCCTTCAACACCTACAACATCGACCACACCATCCTGACCAAACTCGCCTCCACCGCCCTCGTCTCCTACCTTCTCGGCCACCCGCCCGCAACCACCCACGCCCTGCTCTCGCACGTCTGGATGGACGGCCATCCGTCCCGGCTGTATCGGTCCCGAGGGACCACAGTGCCGAGGAAGGGTTGGGCCGCGGGGGATGCGTGTAGTCGGGCGGTGTGGTTGGGGTTGCTTGGGGATAGGGCGGGGGTGGCGATGGAGGGGGTTCCGGGGGTGTTGAGTGGGCCTGGTGGGTTCTGGGAGGGGAGGTTTGGGGGTGATGGGTTTAGGTTCCCCGACTGCGAGGGGGGGATTGGGATGGGATGTGAGACGGTCAAGAGGGTGATGTATAAGGTGATGCCGGTTGAGGGGCATGGGATTGCGGCGGTGGAGGCTGCTCTGGTGCAGGCGGGACGGATGAGGGGGATGGGGGTCGGGGTGGAGGAGGTGGAGGGGGTGGAGGTCAGGACGACGTGGGCGGCGGGACATATTATTTCGAGACCGGGTAGAGGAGGGGGGAAGGGGGAGGGACGGGCGGAACGGGATCATTGTTTGGAGTTTGTGGTTGCGGTGGCGTTGGTGAAGGGGGGGCCGTTGGTGGTGGAGGATTATGGGGATCGGGAGGAAGGGGGGTGGGGGGATGATCCGGTCGTGGAGGAGGTGAGGGGGAGGGTGGTGGTCAGGGTCGATGAGGGGTTGACGAGGGATTATCTCGATCCCGGGAAGAGGAGTATTGGGGCTGGCGTGGTGGTGAGGTTGCAAGGGGGGAGGGTGTTGGAGGAGGTCCTGGTGGAGTATCCTGTGGGACATGCGAGGAATCTGAAGACGAGGGAGGAGGTGAGGAAGAAGTTTGTGAGGAATATGAGGTTGATGTTTAGGGATGAGGAGATTGAGGAGGTGTTGAGGTTGGTGGAGGTCGATGATTTGAAGGTGTGTGAGTTTGTGGATTTGTTTGCCAGAGAGCATAGTGACAGTGGGGAGGACAAGGCGAAGCTGTAGCGAAGAAGAATGGTTCCGGACCATATTTCCTATTGGATCTCTAGCATAATAATATTGCAGTCCCACTGCAAAGCAGCAGCCAGAGATCAAGCAACCTTCCCAACTCCCTGCAGTGTCAAATAAACATCTGTCCCCCATCCCCATAAGCTCTGCACCGCAATGCTTCCCCCAAAATACTCCGCATAGGCTCGGCTCAGCGGCAGTCCATACCCAAGCCCGGCAATACTGCTCAGGTGTCCCCCGCTCGATGCAATGGTGTTCAATGCGTCCATGCTTCCATTCTCCGACCCGTTCATCTCGTAGTCGGAAAACGTAGTGAAACTATACGACCAGATGTTCGGCAGCACCTCCGGCGGAATGCCGCCCCCTCGATCTCGGATCCGGATTGTGATGCTCTGTGACGAGGGCGTCCAGCACTTGATAGACTCGTTCGCATCCGCCGTGCCCACTACCGTATCCATCTGGAACCCAACATCAGAATGCGACTGCGGGCCATGACTCCGCTTTCCCTTCTTCCCGGACACGTCGTGGACCGGGTTCGCAGGAACGTCGGGCGCCGCAGCAATCGTCACCTCAATCGGCTCGCTCCCATTGCCGGATTCAATCACCGCCCGGAATGCGTTTTTCAGCAGCTCCGTGAGGATGTATTCCACATGGACCGGGACATGAGCGAAGGAAGCGTCCGGCTGTCCACCGATACGCAATCTGGGACGCACACCGTACTTGAGCTCGCAGATCTCGCCCACAAAGTCCTCGCACGACTTGACGATCCGCGAGGGTTGCAGCGCCGTGTCGATGACCCCGATGTAGTTCGAAGGTGCGGCATCCTTGTTGGTATCGCGTTGTTCGACAGGGACAGCACTAACAGGCTGCGAGGCAAAGTGCAGCGCTAAATGTTGCTCCGCGATCAGCCGCGTGCCGATTCTGGCGCGCAGATGCGTGTCCAGAAACCGGGTTACCTCGACGGGATCGATGTATCGACGGCATTCGAGGAAGCCACGGGCAAGAATAGGGATTGTATTCGTGTGGGTGTGTACGAGATCAGCGAGTACCTCTGCGAATTGGTTCTCTTCCTCGAGGGTGGTGACCTGGCGTTGCTGGTAGGGTAACAGTGTTGATAAAGAGTGAAGGTAATTGTTGTAGATCTTCGATACGTGCGGGTTTGAGACCACGATAAACGGGAGGTTGCGGAGGGCTTCGATGCGCGATGCTAGTCGGGCTGGGAGGAGGGAGAGGGTGAAGTTGGCCGAGGCAAGGAGGTCCTCTTTGCACAACGGCGGGCGTCCATGTCTATAGGCAGGGATTAGCATCGGGATATATACCAACAACTTAACTTGGCCCTGCAGGACTTACTTGAGCAGGTCTGCCAGAGTCAATGGGCGCCGGCGACTGGCTGCGAGACGTGCGACTTCATCATTGGCGCCGTAAGCAAAGGCATGCCGCGAGGACGTAGTTTGTCGGAGTGGCGGTGACGACGAAACAAAGCGCCTCGTTGGAAGGATAGTTGATGAAAGATAAGTATATCGAGACCTAGCACCCCCAGACGAAGTCTGAAGTGCCCGTACTATAGCCATAGTAGAACCTGGCCATCGTCCGGCGGACTTGCAAGAAGACAAGGGTCGATGACCTCACAAGCCGGAGTCCGTGGGGCGTCCGGCGGCGCTCACGTGTCAAGCAGTCAGGCAGCCAGCATTCGCCAGTTAGCAGGACCGCCGTGCCGATAATGGATTGTTCTTTCTTTGTCTCTGGCCACCTTTGTCATTTGTTGCTTCTTTCCCCTGAGCAGTCAGATATGATTCGTCCCAGAAATAGGCCCGTGCCATCCATCCCATCCGTACCACTGGCTTAGATCTAATCGCCTATCGCGGATCACAGCCTCGCTGCCCAAACCCTGTTTTTGCAGGTGATGGATGAGGTCATCCGCTGCAGCCTTGCGCTTACCTGCATTGACAGACTTCCCCGAGAAAAGCAGCAAGGATCTGGCGATATGGAGGTCATTGGTAGTCCTATAGTTTAGGAGAACTGATATTGTATGGTTTTGCAGGAACTATGTTCATTCTGTCCAAGATAACCATAAATCAGGCCATCTTCACATATAATTGTCTTGCTTTACAACATCGATCATGATTCCCACATATGATATATATAACCGCGGGTTCCCATAACACCGAACAAGAGTATAGTCACGTAAAGTGTCCCTCTAAATTACCCATTCTACCTTGTAGAACAAGTTGAAGCCCTCCGGTGTTGTGTTTACTGGGTTCTCACTTCTTGATCGCGCTCGACAGTAACATGCGTGTGGTTTTCCGTCACATATTGCGGCACTATTTCATATTCAACGCTATGTTGATTGTCAGCCAGGCTTGATCTTGAGAGCCGCACAGTTGTAGGGCGCTGGTTAGCCAGGAAGCGTTTTGTCTTACTAGAAGCGCTTGAAGTACTCTGCTTCGTTCAAAATCTTTCCGCCTTTTGAAAACTGTTTCTTGGCCCTGAGGAGGATAGAGATTAATCACGACTGTTTTGTGAAAGCAGGGTTCGTGGTATCTTACGCCTCGTATGTTTGGGGAGGAGCCTCCTTGTCGACAGTGATCTGAGCAGTCGTTAGCATTCGAGCAAGTGGTGAAAGTCCACACTCCACGTACCATGTACGTAGGCATGTTGGATGAGTATGTTAATAAGCGCCGTTCAAAGAAGAGACCTAGAAATATACAAAGTCTGGGGACGTAGCAGTGGATGAGAGATGAAGGTTGGGGTGAGCGTTGCCAGGGTGGGCTAGGAGACCATTTATACTCTGCTGCCGGTAAGTTAGACCGTTAGGCACCCTTTGCGGGGCCACTCAATCTCACGGGCTGATAAGGTCCCCTCTATGGCCGATCGAGGGGGTCGGAGGGGCAGTGGCTGTTTCAGGCAGGGCCTGATTGGAAGCACAGCCATCCCGACTGCAGTCTTTACATGGGGTTGCACATACTACACAGTATTATAGTATCTAGCTAGTAGCTACAGAGTGCTGGCTGATGTTTACATCCCACCGGCATGGCCACTTTGTCACGCAATAGAGACTTGCTGGCCGGAATCTAAGACCACTCGAAAACTGAGCCAGTTGGTCGGCAAAGCCGGCACTCAACCGCTATCACGGAATTGTTCAGAGAAAGTATCATTCACACAGTAGAACGGGATCTCTACTATCTAGTAGGGATGTCTGATTGTACGTTACCACAATCCAGAGCAGCTAGCGGGTGGCGTTGCCATCCTGATAATGGGATTCACAGGGCCGCTCTTCTTCCCCTAGAACGGGCACTATCCCGATCCGGAACTTCATAACCCGAGCTGTACCCAATGACGCACCTCCGATGACGCTATCCCGCGAGGGGCAGTCACGTGCCATGTCGTTATCAGGCAGTGGATGACGTTGAGACAAGAAAAGATTTGAGGAATAACGGGAGGGGTAAAAGTTAAACATAATCACGGGACAGTCTGCGCAAGATATCGCTTGTCATAGGATGTTCATTGCGTTGCTACAGAGTATTGCGGTCATATATCCTTTAGAAACCCCACCTCAATGACTTTCTCAGCTCCCAATCCCAAAGACGCGATCTTCGTCCTGGTGTTGTCTCGAATCCACAGGAAAATCCACAGGACCAGGCGTCGGAAGATGTTCGTTCCCTTCTTGGCCCGCATCTGCTCCTTGCCAGTAATGTAGAGTACGTTATGGGCACAAGCTTTCTCGAGCCGCGCCAAGGGATCGGCAGATTTCACCCTGCTGGATGCCGTGCGCGACTCTTCAACACCCATCGTATCTTGACTTACGTCCCGGCTGGATTGACTGAGGCTCGTGCTCGTTTCAGTTTGACCAATGTGGTGTTCGTTTTCGACCAGGTATCTGCGGACCTGGTCGGTAATGGTACTTGCGAGATTGGGTGAGATAATCTCGTCATTGTAACCATAGCGGACAACCAGGCGGTAGCAATCCGGGATCGCGAGCTTGGAAACCGTATAACGGTCTTCAACGGGAATGGATGGGGTCTCAAGAGGCCGGAGATGGAAGAAAATCATCACCTCAAAAATAGTCGTGAGCCTAAGGATGAACTGACTAAAGACGATGGGTGTTGTCTCGCCAGCCTTGTCGAAGAATATACCCACACCCCGGGTGGTACTCAACGGGGCGCTCTCAAATCGATCGGTAAGACGTATATCGCCGTTCTGGTCCCTGGTCACGAAATGGGAGGTTGGAAAGCGGTCTTCGGCTTCGGCAAACCATTGCTGTTCCTTTCCAAACCTCCAGAGAAGGAAGATGAGGGCGAGGATGGTGGCCACTGCCAGTGTAAACCATGCGCCAGTTGGGACTTTGGTCAATGCTGAAGAAAGGTATGCCGCGTCAAAGCAAGCAATTGTAAGCCAGGGTAGGAAGACAAGATATGGACTCTTGCGCCACACGAATATCGCTACCATAGCGACCATGCACGTGTCAAAGAAGGTTACAAAGATGACGCAGACCCCGTATGCATTTCCAAGAGATGTGGTCTGCATTAGTTAGTGCTCTGTGGGGACGAGTTAGTCTTGCACGCTTACATTGTTGTAGATAGATGCCACGAGGATGGTCCCAACCATCAACAGCCAATTCGCAATGGGAACAAACAGCTGGCCATGAAAGATATCGGAAGTATGGATCACCTTGATCTGCGGGAGGTATGAGAGCTTTATGACTTGTGCTAGGAGCTAAACCGGTGTTAGACTACAGTTGTCGTTGGAGGTGGGCGTCAAACCTGGAATGTAGCAGTGATGATTGCTTGCGAAGCAACGATAGCTGCTAGAATGGCAATCACAAGCGCAGGATAAATGGTGCCCGGAGGCGCTGCGTTGTAGAAGGGATTTGAGTACGCCTCCGGATGTACGCTGATGTATGCTGCCTGCCCTATATACGCCAGAAGCAGGCATGGGAAGGTGTAGCATAGCCAACTTATCTGGATGGCCCGACGACTGAAAGCACCAAGGTCGGCGAAAAGGGCCTCGACTCCGGTGAAAGCAAGCAGAGTACCGCTGAGCATTCTCCATCCCGATTCTCCATGGCGGATCAAGAACTCAAAAGCATACCCTGGATTGAAAGCAACAAAAACCCCGGCGTCATAGTAGACAAGATTATAGATGCCGAACGCAGCATTGAAGCCAAGCCAAATGATAACAATCGGGGCGAAGGCGACGGAGAAACGCGTGATTCCGAGGGGCTGGATGAGAAACAGAATGACGAGGATAGCATCAGTGACTCCGATCACGGTGCCTTTGGATATGTTGGGGGACACGACTTCAATTCCCTGGACAGCGCCTAACACGGATTGAGCGGGAGTGAGCAGGCCGTCCGCAAGAACCATTGTCACAGCCAATACGCCCACCACTTTTAGCAAGCGCTTTGCGAACTTGCTTGTCTCCAGGCTATGTCGAGCGTATCTACTGGCACGCTCAAGATCCGTCGACAGATGTCTCTTCATCTGCACGAGGGAAGCCTCTCGCGGATCGCGGTGGGTGATATTCATCTGGGATTTGGTCAGCTTTGGCTCACAGCCAAATGACTGTGAAATGCAGCTTACGTAGCGACTGAGAAGTGAATATGTGCTGAATGTACCACCCTCTCCATCATTATCCGCCCACAGAATAATGAAGATGTACTTGACAGTCACCATCAAGGATATGCTCCAGATAATTATGGAAAGTACACCAATGAGGTCCTGACGGGATGGCGCTTCGCTGAATGTAGACGAATAGACGTAAAGAGGACTGGTCCCGATATCCCCATAGATGACACCGATTGACTGGTACGCCAGCCAAAACAGCATTTTGCCTGTGAAAACCTATTATCTCTCAGCTTGCATGGTCGTGGATCCGAGTAGTACTGTTGGCTTCTACCTGTTTTTGCTTGAAGTCTGTAGGTCTGCCTAAGCCTGGGTCATCATCTTCGCCAATCGTGCTCGCACCACTAATACTTCGACCCAGGTGGTTGTTCCATGGGCGAATATTGTAAATTGACTCATGGGGATGTTGTGCTTTCTCCTCAATAGCTTCCTGGATTGCGGGCTCCTTTGCGATCGCTCGATCATCATCCATCTTGAGAATTGCTGCGACTAAGATTGGGTCAGGAACGGTTGAGATTCAGAGTCAGCAGTGCTGACCGACCTCCTCAATCCAGGTGCCGTCAGCCAGAGTGGGAATGACTGACACAAGGAAGCTGTAAGACCTTGTCCGATTCACTTCCAGGGCTTCATCCAGTACAGGCCTGCGCACCGGAAAAGACCGTACTTATACTGCTCATATCCAGGTGCCAGGAACTTGCCGTCAACACCAGATTGCTATCAGAGCTTTATCCCGCCTGCTCTTCCCACTGCAGGGGAATCCTACATCGCAGCCATCGGATACGAGCCATTGGCCGCTTTCTGAACTGTCCTGTGTATCCTTATCTCCAGGACGATATGCCACAATATGATAGATCAAGAAAGTTTTAGGTAATGGCCAGATAGATAATGATAATAGATGATCCCGTCATAGAAAGGATATGAGAGGGATTTTTCTGAACCAACCTCTGGCCGTGGCCGTGTATGTGCGGGATTTGTTAGCACCAATGGGCTTCCTCGCGTGTTCGTGATAAGCTCAAGCTACCCCGTACCACATGGCATCGATAATTCGCCCCGACTCGCTGGCTCCAGTGTCAAAGAAATACCTATCGTAGTGCAGTGGTCCAGCCCTCCACGTTGGGATCTCGGAACCGTAGGCGCATATCAGTCACCTGATCCGCTCGTCTTTTCGCCAAGGTAGTAGCTTCCTAACACGGCCCCTTCTGTATGGTAGTTCATGTTCCAATGAGCCCATGTATTTCTCGATACAAATCGCACTTCCGTGATCCCGAATTCTTGACTGACTCGCCGAAACACACTGTTTTTTTCATGTGCGTTGGTCGCAGCAAAATAACATTGACAGATCTTACCGTTAGCCTGGAGACGCTTAATCCTTGAGACACTGGAATCTCTTACCAAGGCATAAAAAGGTCCTATCATATATCGAAGACTGCATCTTCAAGGTCACACACCAATGCATCTTTTCCTTGATGAGGTCTACTGGTAGCTAAAAACAGGTTTTTACGTCTTATGCAACCCATCACTAACAAGAACGGATCTAGTAGTCCTTGATAAAGCACGAAACGCTCTCATGGCTCCGTTTACTCTAGTTAGAATCCATTTAGCGCTTCTCCAAACCGCCGGCTCAACTCTACGCCGCAGATGTGCTCTGTTGGCTGAACAGCGAGTGGGTACAGCGATAGAAACCATATATGCACGACTTCACTAGGCTACCAAGTCTGTTGAAGTGGGCCGATACTCAGTAGTACTGGGGCTTAGCTCCTGGTCTTACCGCTGCGCCTCTTAGGATGAAAAACAACTCCCCACGCATGAATCAAATTTTTGAAATCTACGCAACCACCACAGGGCCTGCAGGCCTTACCTCTCATATAATTATATTTAACGCCCCTGGCGACATTTTAATACCAATTTCAAGGAGTCTTGCCCCCTTGTAATATTAAAATAGTGTCTAGATTATTCCCGTGGCTAGTTTTAGCGGCTAATATAGAAAACTCTGCAGCCTCTAATAATATTATTAGTTTAATATAACGCGTAATCAACTAGTAGTATAATATAAAAGTAATTATTAAATACATCCAAAAAGATTGAGGAAACTTTCTAAAGCTAATAATATAATTTATAAAAATAATCTTAAAGACCATAGAAATACTTATTATAATTAATCTGGATAGCAACCTAAGGCATAAACTAAAAAAGTTAAATAACTACTTTTAGAAAAAATTTATTTAATTATAACACAATATTACTACAGTCAAGATTTAAACTAATTCTAAGAACATACTTAGATCTATTTTTAATAAAAAAACCTACATAAATATAATCCATAAAAAAATTAGATTATTATCTAATATGATAGTATTAATCTCTATTATATAATATACAGCAGAGATGGGGACTTTGGAGGTTTTTATATATAAATTAAATAAAAATAAAAAAATTATTATCAAGTTTACTAATTATTATATTATTGAACGCCTCAGGGCCATAACCCTATTAGATATTATTAGAAAAATAAAAAAAGCGCAGATTATAGTATTACGTAACTATAAATTACTATACTAAATCAAGATTATAATAATAAAATAATTCTAATTAAATAATATTAATTTAATTATATATACCACAGCTAAGGCAGAGATTATACAGAGATATAAAGTCTAGCTAGAGACTTTCAGAAATAAGACTAAAATTAAAATACTAATATATGGAAATATAATAAATAATATCTTAATTAAATCTATTAAGTTAAATAATAAGAACGGCATTAAGAGTGTTATTAAGAATCTAAAAATAAAGAACTATTATAACTAGGAAAAAATAGATATTAAATATATTAATTAATTAAAGAAATATTAAGTAGTGGGCCAGAAGACCTCTTTAATTATAGTTAAATTTATATTATTTATAGATATGAACTAGGCTCTAAGATACTAAATACTTTAGAAAAATAAATAATACTATATTTAGTAATATAATCACGTGGCACATATCAAGTAATATTTTAAATATAATAAATATAATTATATAGAAATCTAATATTTATATAATGATATATATAGTTTTTATACTATACTGTACTAAACTAGACACTATCCTAAATATAATAGTAAAATTATATAAATTAAATATATTAATTATAAGTAAGAACACCTAGCATAAAATAAAACATATAAAATATATTAGAAAAAATTTAATAAAATTAATTAGGTTTAATCTCTTTATAATCCCTATTATTCTAAACTGGCTGGAGATCTTTTAAATCTTTATATAAAATTAAAAAATAATTTAAAAAAAAAGTATAGCAAATATTTCTAGCCTATTTAGTTAGATAAATTAAATTACTATCTAGTAGAAGCCCAGCAGAATCTAAAAAAATAGTATAAATATAAATATAAAAAAACTTATACTATAACAAGCACAGGCAGGCATTTAAAAGATTAGATTTATAGATATTTTTATTTATAAGATATAAAAAGAAAATGCCATACATAAAGAAATAGTAAAGATTATAAGATTTTGTATATAACTAATTTTAATTATATTAAATATTTTTAATTTAATATAACTAAGTAATAATACCAATACTAACACTAATAATAAATAGATTCTAGTATCTAGTGGAATAAAATCCTTATCTTCTAAAAAAAGAAGAATAATAAGAATAATTAATATTACTATTAAAATACTGTAGGACGCCCTGGAGAATATTTTAATTAATTAAAAAATATTATTAAATATTTAGAAAACTAGATATTATTAGGGAAGTACTCTATATTATATAATATAACTATAGCCAGTCTAGAAGCTAAATTATAGTAACTTTCTTTAGGAAGATAGCTATAAAAAAAATAAATATTATTATTTACTAAGAATCTTAGAAAAACTTCTTCTAAGATACTATATACTATCTAAATATAGATATATACTACCTATTATACCCAAAGAATAGAGACAGAATATATATTTATATATATATATATATAAATAAATATACCTGGGCACTTAGGAGTATTAGCTAGTAAACTAAGATTACTAGTAACTTAGGATTAACTATACTAAAATAAGAGAGATAAAGATCCTTTTTATTTATAATATATATAATGAAATCAATACAGGAACAGTAAACCTTATAAAAAAAATAACTTCAATAATTCTACCGCATGGAATATATAATTCTAAAAAACTTTAATCTTTATTATTTTATATAAGATAGATTAGAGATATATACAGATCTAGAAATAAAGAAACTTTTCTAACTAACTAATTAATATAGATTAGAATTACTAAATAAATCCAATATAATAATCTACTTTAGTATAGAAGTTAATATAACCATTAATCTTATATTCATATCTAAGAGTCTGACGGACTGCCTGGTCTAATAGAAATAAATAAATAATATAAATAATAATTTAAATTATTAGTTATTAAGAATAAAGATAGATATATATATATAGACAGCTGAGACTGTCAAGTATAGGAACTAGAAGTATACTAATACTAGTAAACTAGTATTACTAGTATAAGAATAACTTAGAATCTCTAGACTCCATAATCTTAAATTAATAATATATAACTATATATAAATAGAAAATAATATAAATTAGATTATAAATTATCTAATTAATATTATTAATAATATAGTGGATAAGATAATCTTATAAATACACTTAAGTATCTATTCCAATCCTAACTTTATCCTAGAATATGTTAAGACTATATATAAAATACGTAAGACGCGCCACTGCCTAACAGAGACTCCACTATATTATAAAAAAAATATAAAACAATCTATAAATATATAAGGAATAGGAAGACGCAACTTATCTAAAAAATATTTTAAAAAATCTATAGAAACTAAGTATAACAAGTAATGGAAGATAAATAAAACCTTTAATAAATTAGATACTAGATATAGATAAGAAATTAATAAAATAATTAAACTATATTTATTTTTATATATAAATAAAAAAAAGTTAATACACTGGAAGTAAAAATAGAAATATTAAAAAAAATCTTTTTTTTTCCTCCACTTTCTATAGATCTAACTAATATTAATAATTCTATAAAACTACCAGAATTTCCGCCTAAAATCAAGTTTCTAGTAATAACTTTAATTAAAGTATACAAAACAATCTGTAAGATATTAATAAATAAAATACTAAGTATAAATAATATTTTTAATAGAATTCTATATCTCCTACTTCTAGTAATTAAGAAATATTTTATACAACTATATAATATATATTTAATAATAGATTATAACCTCCAACATTTCCAGGAGTTAGTGATAGTTATCTTTTATAAACTAAATAAGAAAAATTACTACAAGTTAAAATCATATCAATCTATAGTCCTACTCAACACGCTCGGTAAAGCCCTGGAGGTGGTCGTAGCTAAATATATTATATATATAATTAAAATTTACTATCTTCTATTTAACTAGTATCTAGAGAATTAAAAAGACTTATCATACAAATAAACCCTATGAGACGGCCGTTCAACGCAACAAAATGAGGTCGTATTGGTGCTAACTACTCTAGAACTTTAAGCATAAGAAGGAAAAAAAGAAAACAAGAAGTATTATAGGCGCTCGCTTAAAAAAATAATAGTAAAGTAAACAAAATAAACTTGGTTATATAATCTTAAACAAGGCCCTGAATAAAGCCTTGAATAAGACTGCTATTATATTACCTCCCTATTTAAATCTAACTATCCTTAGTCAGGGAAATATTATTATTATTATAATTTATAGTAAATTCATCATTCTCTGCGGCTGTAATTTATATGGAGAGTCATTTAAATAATC